CACCTATGATTTGAGCACATTAATCTTCAAGTTTATAATTAATGTTGAGTTTAAATGTTCAAGTGATGCTACTCTTCCAGGCATATGCAAATACTAAAATTGTAAATGTCACATTTTTGGAAATCTACGGTTACCAATTTTACATTAATTACATTTCATTACCTGGAGGCAACTACTTATAAAATGTAATTATTGCAATGAATGATTATCAAAAACGAATTAATATCACATTTAATTTCTGACTTTTTAATCTGTTGCTCAAAGATAAATTAAAATCTGCTGATCGTGACAGAGTGAAACTACTAGACTCTTTACTCTCTTTTGTTTTTTTTCGGTAAAGTCACGTAGGTAAAAAATAAAATACAAATAAATTAAATCACGACGTTTCGAAGGCAACACAAGCTTCCGTCTTCAGGTGGAACCGTCACAGCAAAATTACTGTATCAAGTTTCATCATAAGGTCCTCAATTTTGCTGTGACGGTTCCACCTGAAGACGGAAGCTTGTGTTGCCTCCGAAACGTCGTGATTTAATTTATTTTCATTTTATTTTTTACCTACGTGACTTTACCGAAAAAACCAAAGAGTATGGACTCTTGCAGTCACGAAAACTTCAAATCTAGAATTACTAGACTTTTACCAACAGTGCAAACCTGTGCTTGCTTAAACCGAATTTCAACAATTTAAAAGAGAGCATGATGCCTGTTTTAACGCATGATCATACTATTGTATTTTAAAGATGTTTGTCAATATGCTTATAACTCGAGATTCATGAATAGTATATTTAGGACCAATTCAACATCGTTCTGATAAAATTACTCTCCCAAAACGCAAGTATGTTTTTTGAGCACGTGGCCTGGTCTTCGAGAGCATTAAAACAAGTGAAATGGAGTGTTTGGAGACGTCTATGGACTGATGGTTGAATTAAAACATTTTCAATTCATAATAAGGTCCTCACTTAACGCGAGGGTTACGTTCCTGCAAATTGGCCAAAACCGCGTTTAACAAATAGTAGATCGATAATTGTTTTTTTACCCTTCTATCTGGCAACAAAACTGACACTTTTTTTATAAGGAGTCATGTTTACATAGACCACAATACCTGCAGTCATAATCCAAACAAAAAACAAAATTCTGATAATGTGCACTGTCCTTGAAGTTGATTGGTCCACACCCGAGACAGATTTCCTTAGAGCCTAGTCTCACATGGGTTGGACCAGATGACGCCAAAAGGCGCACAACTCAAAGACAATGCACCATCAGAGTATGAGAGCTCGGGGTAAGCATTTACACCATTGGAACAGTGCACATTATCAGAGTTATGTTTTTTGTTTGCATTATGACTGCAGGTATTGTGGTCTATGTAAACATGACTCCTTATAAAAAAAGGTGTCAGTTTTGTTGCCAGATAGAAGGGTAAAAAATACAATTATCATATTTTTTACTGGCAAATAAGGTTCCAATGGTGTAAATAGTAGACCTTCATGGGAAAGCTATGGTTGAGTTCCTGGGTCCGAACTTATCACCCCCTCCCTATTTGTTAATTAATTCTACACGATTTACACCCTTTGTTATTGTAATGAAGGATGCCGAGTTGATCTCCATTTGCTTGTGTGTACACTCTTTGTATTGTTTTTATTTCACGCAAACACAAATCCCCCGCTCCATCCCTCTTCCCGCACGCACGCCCGAAGCTCGCTCTTAGCACGGTCACTTGAACGTTAATGATTCGCCATCAAGGCGTCTGTATGACTCACCTCCCCAACGGGTGGACGGCTAGATACATGTGGCAATGTGTGACTGTATTGAGTTTGTGTTTACATTATCACACGCGAAAATACACACGCTAAAACATACATCGTTTTTAAACCGTTCTCATGGTCGATCATTGACACCTGCCAACGGATGCAGAACTCTCACGGCACGACTTGTCGACGCGGAGATGAGAATCTTAGCAGCGTCAAACCGCGCATCGCCGAAACATTACCCCAGTGTTCAGGAAAACCGAGCTCATTAGATAAACCGTGTACAAGTGTAACGGCGTAAGTAGCGCAGGAGACGTTTGACGGAGGCAACACGTATTTTTTTTTAACAAATGGGTACTATACAGTACGTAGCGCACCCTAACACTGGAAGGGGTAACGGCCCCTTCACCCGGTCTATCCGAGGCAGTGTCCCTCAGCTAACGTTTCCCCGTTAGCTCCTACTACACTCCTCTAACCCATACCATCCTATAGAGGCTAACTCACCTGGCCCAGCTTCGGCTCAGGTCCGACCCTCAGCCACACGAGCCTGGCCCTCACAAGGACACAGACCTGGCTGCTGAGGTCGCCCCTGGCTTGCCCTGCTCGGCTCTTATAAGAGCAGCGAGTCAGGCTAGTCCCAGGGCTGGCTAGCTGGTCTTCAGTCTTCACTGGCTCTTCTGCTCCAACGACTGCCTCGAGCTCTCTCGCGCACCGCCTTATATAGCCAACTGCCCCCCGAGGGGCGGGGCTGTATGCAGACGTTGATGTAGACACCCCACGCACGGACCGTGATGTAGACACCGCAACGTAATGGCTTGCTACACCCCGGTACGTAACACCTCTACACAAGTAATAGTCCAAACACGCATTCGATAAAACCACGTTGGACAACGTTTTCTTGTACTTTAAACAAAATAATACTGGTAGGAACCACCTGGTTCCACCAGCCCACAGGGGATTATTGTGTCCGTCCGTCCGTCGTGCATCAAAAAATGGGAGGGTGGGGGTGGGAGGGGTGGGGCTGGGTGGGGAGTGGCTGGTCACCTCGTGGTGCCCTTATAAAACTCAACGTTTAACCTACTCACGCCGGCTTGTGCTCGCCCTCACAGTCGGGCATATTTGCGGAATACACCACGCCGCCGTTGACCCTGGCCATTGACCGAGCAACCCAACGTTCCTACCAGCTCCTTCCGCAGGAATGTGTTAATTGGCGTCGTCGTGGAGAACACAAAACGCAGATATGCAATGTCTCTCCATATATACGTAAGCATTGGTCTATTTTATTGACTGACATGATTTGCCCATTCTGCTTTTAATGAGACTCGAACGTAAGTGCAAAGAGCTCCTGTGTGCGGCACATCTGTGGTGGCCGAGTCGCAAGCAATGGAAATCGCGATGCCTCCCTCGGTCCTTGCCCAGCTCGGCAACAGATGTGATGCCACTCCTGGTTTTACAAACTAGTCGACTGATTTCTAAAGATCAGAAACAAAAGCAGGGTTGGTCGTCCCACTGGGATTTTTGCACACATCGTTGGTGTACGGTGTTTTTTCTGCAATATTTTGCTGTCTTTTCTTGGATTTTCTGTTTGCACTCAGTCACATAGTCACTTTAAGATGTTTTTTTGTTCATGTTTTTGTTTGTTGCGGTTGCACCCGATTCAAGAGCCGAATGGCTCACAGGGCTATACCTAATAAATGCACTTGAACTTGTCTTAGCTTGGTGCTCAGTATTACTTTTCTGCTACTCGGTAAATGTCACATTTTCCCGTGAATTGGTAACACGCACATAATATACTGTCAATAGTGGAAGGACTTTGTGTTGTGCCTCGTGTTTATAGTGAATTCTGGCGGTGCACACAGGAGACACCACCACACACTCTCGTCGTTCTACCCCACTTTATTCGCAATCCCGCTGGAAAACAAATCAGTGGGGTCACAACACGGCACATTAAAAAGGACTCTTACGGTGATTTCAGACACTTACTTGAAAACAGTGACTCTCAGGCTCCAATATTGGACCCACCCCCCACTGCCAGATTGTTTACAAAATAACCTAATATTATCTTCTTGGTTCTTTCGGTAAAGTCACGTAGAAGGGAAATAATAAAATAATAAAAATAAAACATTAAAATAATTCTGACGACGTTTCGGCCACAACGCAAGCAGCCGTCCTCAGGTGAAAAACAGGTCTGTCGGGAAGACGCTGTCTTCGCTATCTCCCCGACAGACCTGCTCTTCACCTGAGGACGGCTGCTTGCGTTGTGGCCAAAACGTCGTGAGCATTATTTTAATATGTTTTATTTTTATTATTTTATTATTTCCCTTCTACGTGACTTTACCGAAAGAACCAAGAAGATGAATCCCTGCAGTCACGAAAGCTTTAAATCGAAATTTATCCTAATATTAATTAAATTTATCTGACAAATGTTAAATAAATACGCAAACAACTAGTTATCCCACGAAACATGCAAACTCTTCTAGATTCCGTTATTGTGGTGTTTTTACGTATACTTCAAACGTTTGAAAATCACAGCTCAGCAATTTAACATTCAAAGAATACTTTACATATTGAATTAACACTTACATAGCACTGAATGACAATAATCGGTCAACAAAAGCTGGCCAGTTGGTTACAACTTTCAACAAATTTACCAAAGATAATTCACAATACTAAAGCAGGAATTGTGTTTTTAACACCATTGTTATAACACCTGGGATTTCGATAAACAGATTAATACTGGATGCACATGGACAAAAGGTTGTTTTAAAATGGGTATAAGAAGTGACATTTAGTGCCATATAAAAGCCTAACAAGTGTGACAGGAATAAAACACTTGGAACCTAACTACGCTGTGTGAGCAAAGGTCCCAGTGCCCGCAATGTTAACGGTGACGTCAGAGTGCACTGACCACCAATAAGCTAGGGGGCCGTCCATAAATGACGTCACGCGATTTTGGACGATTTTTTACCCCCCCCCCACCTCGTCACAAAAAGGCAGACCCCCCCCCCCTCAAATATGACGTCAAAAAAAATCTGCCCCCCCCTGAAAAAAAAACATGCTTCAAATCGCTTTAAACTATTGTCATTGCAGTGCGTATTTAATGTGGTGCTGAACTCTGTTGTAGGAGAAAACATTTATTAAAACGTCTATTTAATTAAGTAGAACGTGTTGTCTATATTTATTTAAAGTTGTGCGATGTGACGTCATATTTCTCACCCCCCCCCCCCCTTCGTCACACATCGTCACAAATGTCTGCACCCCCCACCCCCCCCCCCAGGTGCGTGACATCATTTAAGGACGGCCCCTAATAAGAAGTCATACAAACCCAAATCTCGCAGTCAAACTACATATTTGATACAAATATCTGTCAACGTGACAGAAATATAATCATCACACAGCAGTGCAGATTATTTAGAAGCTTCTCTCTTTGACTTAACATGGGTTTGTCGAGCTCGCGCTTGCTAGCTGTCCGGGGACCACATGCAGCAGAAACCCCGGGTCCGAAGTTTCACGCACAACAAGAGCCTTCACCATGGTATAGACCAATAATACACACACACACACAGTTACACAAGCGCACACGCACGGCGGGTCATTTACTCAAGATGTCCCATTGCGTGCAGAGGTGGATGGGATTTAAATCACCTCCCCCGTCCCCGCCACAATGGACCCCCGAGATAGCAACGGGATAAAAATGGTTGTCTATTCGATGCGAAGGGTGAAGTTGTCTGGGAATACGCCCTTGTGGCCCTCAAGGACCTTGTGAGCGATCCAATCTGCCTCCTTGATGCCTGCGAGCCAGCCCGAATCCTGCAAGGGGCACAGGGGAGGAGAAGCGAATACGCCGTCGCGTCAGTTATTCGCCCCCGCCAATCTTCCAGGTCGCGAGGAGAGCAGTGCACCTTTAAATACAAGCAGCGGCCAATTCTGATTGCAACGTCGTTCCACCAAAAGCGTGGTTGGGATGCATGCCGATGCACAGCTGCAACCATTGGGGGAGAGCTATTTCATTTTTGGAAAGGATGTGCCATTCGAACGCACGAAACTATCATCGTGCGGGCTTCTGTTTGTCTATCACATTAAATGAAATTATATTTTGTTGTGGCACGTTACTGGTATTGCTCATGGCTTAACAGAATGGAAGTGATGTTGTGTAACAGAAGCACATGGGCGTACATAAACTCTAAATTACACAGATGGTGATCTTACGAAATAGCTCCCTTTGCAGGATATTGCTAATTCAATTAATGCAAATGCTTTGGTGCACGGCCAACATTCAATCTATTTTAAACGACCAAATGTGGCACGCACAACTTGAAAAACAGACTTTGGAATATACAGTTACGTGCATGCTGATCCTCATCAGTCATTATCTATCCACTGCTGGACGAGTCATTGCCATCCCAGCATGGTCCCTGCGATGCAACAATCAGTCTAGAATTTGCACATGTGCTAATTTCACTGTTCAATCTCTAAGGCAAATGTCTTTTTGGGCATATTCCCCCTCGTTTGATTGCAACTACATCATCAATATGGGCCACCAGTCATCATCCTTTCGAGCAACATGTCCTGCCCAAGCCGACTTGCCTTTTTAAATCCTTTATATTAAGTTCGCGTGCTTGCTTGCTTGCGTGCTTGCTTGCTTGCTTAGGACCGTGCAAATATTTCGGTCGTTTTTTAACCCACTTCCCGTGATCCAATCGAGCTGACATTTTCCACACAGACTCGTTGTGCCAGACAATTATTGTTCGTGAAAAAAAAATTCCCAAAATGTTACACTTTTTAGGCAAAATTTTTTTATTTTACATATATTCAAATAGAACTCATTCTTGGCTTTGGCTGAACGTCAGAGTGTAATAGCCCAGAGCGTAACCCCTCCACAGGCCGTGGCGGAGTAGCGCAGTTGGTAGCGCCCTCGCTTCCCATGCCAAAGGTCGCGGGATCGATCCCCGCGTCCTCCACAGGCGAATATATTTTTAAATCCTTTATATTAAGTTCGCTGCCACGCATATAAAGGATTTATAGTGAAAAACTTTATTTTTACGGGTTATACTTATTAATTGTCAATATGCCTCCAACTTGCCATATTATCAAGTCCATGCGTTTTCTAATCCAATATGCAACTTACTATAAATATGTATTTATGCTACAAAATGCGAATTAGACAGTGTTTTTTCTAACTCTAAACCACTCACTCCCTGCTCCACCTGTCCTTCCTGCACCCTGTCTCCCTCCCAAGTTCCAGGGTTACATTTAAAGCACTCAACAACTGTGTACAATGTACAAAGAAAGCAAACGGGAACCTTGCTACCTGCTGCTCAGGGCTTTCAAAGGGCAGGACAAGCACCACTTCGCCACTGCCCAAGCACAACTCATCCATGTCCACAGGTGTGTAGTCGTGCTGGACCTGCACCTGAGTAGTCACAAGCAGCAGGAGCAGCACAGTCAAAATCACCCAAAGTTTTACAAGCTCAACCAAAGCACTTTCAAGCAACGATTATTATTTAATTCAACAGTAAAGGGTTTTTTTTGCGGTTGTGCTGTAGAGCTTTCAGATGTGTTTTCTGGATGTCCTCGTGCTGTTTGACAACATGTAGTGATGTGAAACCTTGGACTTCGCGCCGAAAAACATGCAGTAAAACCTGAAAATACATTGGAGAGCTCTACAGTGCCACAACCGCAAAAAAACGTTGCCGTATAGTTAAAATAATAAGCGGTATGTGAAAAAGATATATTATTTAACCGTTTCTGGCTAAGCTCACAATTAATCTTTTCCCTAAATACAATAGGATACAGAGCTGATTAATTTTACAATACCAATTTTAGTACCGCTCTAGTATTTTGTGATTTTCAATTATGCTTTATTTTAAGCGTTTTGAGATGCCATGACATTTAAGTGCCCTATTAATTTAGATCCTTAAATGATCTTTCTTGGAAGTAACGTGGCAGTGGCAGGCTCACTTTACCTTGTACAAGAAACCTGGAGGAAATTCATAAGACTGGGCCGGAGTGGAGACGTTGGCAATCGGGGGACACTCCGCCGAGACGTTTGCCATGCATCCGAAGCTCGCATCGTCCGGGGTCAGCTCCACTGGCTGGAACACCGAGAGAGTGATATTACTACGTGGTTCCAATAAGCAGGCGTCCACGTACTGCAGCACAAATGGAATAACTTGCATTTCACTTGCAATTACACCAATTTATAATACGGTCATCTTACGGCATTCTTTATGGCATTTTTACTGGTAGAGTTTAAAATGTAACAACAACGAATGCCTTTGTGATGCAGGTGTGGCACAGCACTATTTATTTACGTGTCTGATTGCCGTGTGACGTTCACGTGTGCTGCCCTGGCTGCACCATTCCTGTTTTCAAATCGGTAGGAATGTAGTTGTATACACGTATGCTATATATATAGTAGATTCAAAGGTTTTCTATGCATGTGTCACTTGACACCTTGGCCGGACTCCCTTGCAAATGAGACGTTCCATCTAAGAGATTATCCATATGAAAAATTTCTATGATAGAATACATATACAAATGCATAATCTGTTTACCGTGGGAGTACTGGCCACAACTTCCATGATGGGCATCTTAGAAGGACAATGTTTGCTTGCACCGTCCAAAGACTGATGTTGAAAAAAGGACAGCAGATACATTTACCGAGGGTTATAAATGACAAGCGCTGAACACTTGTGTTAAACACACGGAATACATCACGACCGATATGGAACGGTTACAGATGGCGTGAGATTGGGCTAAGTGGTGAAGCACACCAGGGGACACATCAAAATCCTCATAGATGACCGACCCATATCACCAAGAGTGGTGATGTTCTTTATCGTGAGACGTGACAAATACATGACAAATAAACAACTACAAGTTAAACACGCAATACGTTTTTGGAAAATGGCTAGTGGAAAAACGATGAAAAGAATAACCCGAAATATACTACAGATGCCAACAGAAAACAATGTGCAAGAGGCAGCTAAACGGAGTGCCGTTGACACAGCGGATCAAGCCCAACTTGTCAGATTCACAGCCTGACCGGTGATCGATACCTTATACGGAAACAAGAACAAATTGAAAATACACAATGGGATGGTTAAGGCTGGTACACGTGCTTCATTTTGTCATTTCAACCAAGAGAACATTAAGCGTCTTGTCATCATTGGTGTGCTATAAAACACGGCACCCAAATTACCATTTCTTGCTTTCCATTGGTATTTTTTTTTATAAGCGTCTATAAATAATGTAGTGGAAATACTGCTGCATTGGCAATGCTGCACAAGCACAGCTCACAAAAAACTCCACACATTTGTCAAGAACACAAATATATAGATAATAGGTGACATTTTGGCAATGGCCCTTCTATAAATAGTGCTGCATACCTTTTTGCACTTGTCAAACGATGAGTGATGGGCTGTTAAAATTTTAGCTGTGCGTCGTAAACATTAATTAATAGTGTAATACATTACAAGCAATTCACAAAAATTGTCCATAGTTAAAAAAGGAACAATTATTTTGGAGAGTACCATATTTAAATGTAAAATAATATTTAAGCAGAACTCTGTTCTGTGTTTGGTTTTCACACTAATACACAGATCTGTAGTCCATCAACCAATCAGCTTTTGAGACCACTCTGATCAAAAAGCAGTTGTTTAATCATGCAAACTATGTACTAATTTCAACTTTCTGGTTCTCATCAGCAGATATGCAAATGCTGCTGCATTAACAGATATTATTCGCAAGGGAACTCCTGATAAACTACGAGCCTTTTGCCCATCCAAGGACGAGTGTATTTCAGTAATTCTGAAACTTGCAAGCGAAAAGCAGACCACAACGTGATATTCATGGCTTCAATTCATATACAATTTGTAAGATCACGGTGACACAGACTTATTTCACTTAAAGGTTATAATCCCTTGTTCATTATGACGTCCTTTTTACTTCTATGTCTCAATAGCGTTACAGAGATCGCGTGACGAGAGGGTTCTGCCTTTGTAGTGAGGGTTGTGAGTTGACGCCGAGGAGGGGGGAGGAGGCGCCTCGCCCCCCCCATGTGGAGTGACGTCACCTGCTCATGATTATTAATGGGGGGGGGGTCCATGTGGAGTACGTCACCTGTTCATGAGCATGAATGAGGGAGGCTGGCCGACGTGGAGTGACGTCACGCGTGGGACACACAGACATTCTTGGCTAATTATAGTAGTAAATGGGACTCCATTATTTAAGCCTATGGCTTCCCAAATTTTCACACCTCCGATTAGCACGGTTGGCTACGTATGGTGCGAAAAAAGTTCAACATACATTAATATTTAAATTGTTCGTTTTTCATTTCTCTAATATGGAGATGCTTATACTATATATGCTATCTGATCATATATATATATATGCTAATACCTGTATCCCTATATTGTTAATTTACAAATTGTATACAGATATTAAGTTTATATCAAAAGGAGGCTCCTGACCTTTCGTTGTAGCATTTAGAGATTCAAATCGATAGCACATGAGGTTTTTTTGAATCGTAAATCAAAAACACAAATTTTACGCAATAAGCGGAAAAAATGAGAATCTGCCGGTTACATTATGGTGACGCATCACAGCGCATTTTGTGCTTCACTTTAATAATAAGAATGCTAATTGGAATAATTTCTTCTAAAAACAATCCAAAAACAGAAACACCTTTACAAACAGTGTATCTAACAAGTGTACGTCGCGGCAAGTTACATCAGTAACACCGCAGTTTTTTAAGGATTCTTTTAATTTAGTGTTAAAGCCAAAGGCCCCAACAGCCTAGAGTAGTAGCGAAACATCGCAAGTCATGCTACAAGTGCCTCGTTAGTACTGCTATAATACGTTTTTACACTAATCTCCCATGCAAGATCCAATAATATAGACTGACAGCAATGGGGAAGAGATGAGAGATCATAGGCATAACCAATGGAAGCATACAATATTCATCAAAGAAGACTATGACAAAGTGAATATGTGATACTGTCCATGTCAGTGAAATCAATAAAAACAAACTCTACAAAAGCACTGAACCAATAGCAAATAAATGTTTTATTTCATTAACGCGGCCGCTACAATAATGAAAATCCTAAAACGAATGAGACGTGCATTTTTAATGTTGTGGAGGACCCAGCCGCTGCACTGAAACATACCTGGTTCTTTTGCGGTGGAAATACGGATGGAGACGTGGGCTCTTGTTTCACGGGATCAAAATCCAGATCGAGGAGTCTTCCTGTGTCCGCTCTCTTGGACAAGGGAACCTCCAACTGACAAATTGGATTACAACAAGTGACTAACCTTTCCAGAGAAAACACAATAAATTTCTGTATATATACACACACGCATATTCATCTTGTAATCATCATACTCCAGGAGTGAAAAACATACAAAATGCTAAACAAAAGGTACGAATCAGACATTTTAAAATGCACTAGCTTTTACAGCCAAGTGGTCACAACTTTCCATTACAGACCCAAATAATGTTTTCTATTGCAATACACTAAATCCATAACTATTAGCTGATGTGAGCAAACTCAGCAAAATATAAACCCACAGAACCCTTGTAAATATTTACGGGTGTGCTTGCGGTGGCAGCGTTGGGCATAAAGTTGTCATCAAAGAGGTTGACGATGGCCTCTTGCGTCATCTCCTTGCTGGGGGTGAGTTTGGGGGGTGGTGGGACCGGTGGCCCTTTTCGGCCCTGCTTTGAATGGAAGGACAAAACAATGAGAAAGTGGCACAAATTCACATTACACCTACATACTGTTGTATCCTAACCCTTCTTCCATAATTGAGAGTAATAATATTTGATGATTTTTTTATATATTATCTTTTTACTTTTTTTAAATGAGTGAAACACACCAAAGCGCACCAAACTGCAAAACACCAGGTGTTGTTAAGTAATGAACGAGAGGAGGGCTAGGATGACAGAATTGCAACCTTGCTTCAAGGCAAAGGCAGTGAAAGGAAGCAGAGGCGCCTTTGTCTAAGTCATAACCACAGAAAGCCAGGAATCATCACTGATTGTGTGTTAGGGATTCCGAGCTAATTAGAACACGTGCACACAGAAAGGGAGGTAGAAGCACGCCTTGTTCTCCTGCAGCTGAGGAAACAAAGATAAACCCAAAAAGGCCTTGGACCTGAAATTAAGAATAACATTCCCAGAGCAGAAGGTTGGAGGGCCACAGGGAGCTGATTTAAAAGAGTGTTGTATATCTCTCAAGGCGGGCAAGACCCAGCTGAATAACAAGCCTGCGGGGGTCACCAGAAGTTCGCATTCGCCTAGTTAAGACAAAAAGCTCAATTATTCTGTATTGCTATTAAAGTAACGTTAAAGTCGGAATTTAACAACAGGGTAGGCTAAAGTTATTGATATTCACACCCACTCCAATTAAACCAGGCCACAAGTTACGCCTACTGAACCATCACCATCATTAAGTCAAATGAAATGTTATTTCCATACTTTAATACTTTCTATGCAACTCGACCCGAAGCATATGACAATCAGAACCTTCCTAAGTCAAAATTGAATCGCACCCAGACAGGAGCGAATATATCATATATAAGGTTGAAGAGGGAAGGAAATTAAGAGCACGGCGGCAGACAAAAACCAGAACTGACTCCAAGGCTCAACCGCCCTCACCTCAGGAGTGACGGAAATTAATGAGGCCTTGAACAACGGCCAGCTGGACGGCAACAACAACGGCGAGCAGAGATAGGGTGGGGCAAAGACTGCGGGGCTATGAAATGCAACTTCGTGTCAGTAAAGCTCTGACAAACAAGTTAAGTTAAAGACATCACAATACATAATATCTACATAACATCAATGTTAACGCTATTCACCGTAAACTAAAGTAAAACTTATGAAAAGCCAGGATAACGGGATGAATCACCACCAGGTCGAATATAATACATAATAAAAAAAGCGATGTTGAACCCAGGGTCGGAGAGAAAGGGAGATCCCGGCCGTCTTTGTATCCCCGCAGCGCGGGATAGGAGTGTGTATACGCTCGGGGAAACACCTCCACTTGAGTCAAGCACCACGATGGGAAACGACAGACCTTAGGTTACATACAGAATCATAACTGTGAAATAGTAAGGGACAAATGTTAACTTAAAACTTTTAACCATTTCTTTGTGCTCGGGTCGGAGAGAGCGTTGCCCCTCCCTCCAGGTGGTGCGAACAAAGACGCCTATGAGACATTTGTAACGTCTGTGTTTTGGGTTCATGAAGAAGGCCAGACAAGAGATAATATTGCACCCAGACAGAGAGACGACCTCGAGGCAATTTGTAACATCTGATTGTTTGCTCGTGGGTTTATGGAGGGAGTGGGACAACGGAATACCGTGAGTGATGCACACAAGGACATACGGACGTACGGACACACACATGGACACACCTGCCTACGGACAGATCCTGACACAGCAAAAATCGAAAAGAAGCCCCGCCTTGTGGGCGGGATCCAGGGGGATTTTTCGGCATAAAGGAAAGGATCCTGAGCATTGGAAATCAGTGCGACCAGTGGGTTGGCTCAGGAACGAGTGCGACCAGAGGGTCGACTCAGGAGTGCGACCAGAGGGTCGACTCAGGAGTGCGACCAGAGAGGGTCGACTCAGGAGTGCGACCAGCGGGTCCACTCAGGAGTGCGACCAGAGGGTCGACTCAGGAGCGAGGGCGACCAGCGGGTCGACCCAGGAGCGAGCTCGACCGGGAGGGTCGACTCAGGAGCGAGCTGCGACCAGCGGGTCGGCTCGACTCATCTTCAGCTCGTCAACCTCTGCCGAATCGGGGGTCTCTGCTGCCACCGGAGTGGTGAGCATCGCGGTTCGGCGACAACCCAGAGCTGCACGCTACGAGCGAGTTGTGGGCGCCACCTACCGACCGGGTTCCGAACTGCGACAGCGTATCAACAGCCATCCGAACCAGTTCGCCACGGTGACAGGGGATCGACTGATACGTATGACGCGCACCGCCCCCTCACCACACGACCACCAGGCATCTGTTTGACCTAAAGAATCGACTCCGAACACTGACTATTCAAGACAACTCTTACCACTCAAAAACACTCGAACCCATAAGCCATCCGTGGCTGGAAAGCATCACAACGAGACCGAGTGATGGCCCTCCGTCGTTTATAAGAGTATTCTTAATTTTTATCTTTAATATTTAGTGGGCTGTACTCTTAATCGCATAAATTCCCAACAGATCCATCAATACGAACTGATTCTTGGCACCTCCTTCCGCCGAGCCACGCTCACGTGGGGAGTGGTGGCCCACCGGATCCTTATCAGGTGATCTGGTCCCCAATTAGTAAACTTGGTATAAGATAACGAGCTTCGGAAAAGGAGCACCGTCGCAGGCCCTTACTCCGAGCCGTTCTGTTGTCAGATAACCTGCTGATGTATCTGTTGAGATTGGTGCCTTTAAGAATAATAACTGTTTTTGATTGTGTTTTTTTTATCGCCGTATAATCTTTCAAGTATCTTCCAGTCATAATCGCCGCATGTACTCGCATCCTCTACAGAACATTCAACTGTCCCGTGACCCAAGGTGTTAACAACGTGATAAGGGTTGCGTATGGTCAATAAGGAGTGTGGTACTGCGTGAACAATATTGAGTATAATCATTCATTAACATTAAGGTTTTCTTAGCATAGTATTTGCGTGTTTTAACGACTCTCTCTCACTAACAACCATCGCGTTATGCGGGATCCATGTGCAGTTGTCAAAGTGAAATCAGACAATCGTTGATGATACTGTATTGATGCCGTGTTGACGTTCCGGGATTGAGAGTTCGCATATTATATCATAGTTAAGGTTGAATTAGTAATAAATTGATCAATACAGAAGTGGTTGTGTGATTCTTTCCTGAAATCTATGCATAAGATCTGCTTCTGCGTTGAGATTTGAACTTGGTGACCTTAATAAACACACTAATACATACTCAGTAAATGTTAAAGCGATAACGGGGTGAACCGGGGACCTAGAAATATAACCACGAATAAAACTCTGGGAGTGTTAAAGCGAGAATGAGACGAACCTAGACAACGATGCCGAGTTAATCTAAGTTAATCTTGCATACTTACACCACACCTGCATAACTGCATACGATTAATTGCCTTATTCCGATCGATAACCCACCCTCGTCACCGAGGCGGGGTCTGGTTATCATAACGACTTGTATTATCATAATTACACCCACTCGCATAATTAATCCGATTACCTCTCGAATTGGCATAATTAAAATGTGCGTAATTACATAAATTAACATATTTCCGGATAATTACACATTTGGCCAGATTTCATTTAATAATTATTATTTTCACTGAATATTCATAACACACAGGTACAACATAATAATTTCACCCACGCACGCATACAACATAACAAATGTTCTTAACCCAACATATACAACAATACAACTGCACAGCTAGACAAAAAGGTAGCTTTGGGTAAAGTAAGTAAATGTAGAATAACGCACATTTTTCACCTTGAACTAAGTTAAGTGCAGGAATTGCATTAACGTGAAATTGAGTGCAATAAATCCTTTGGATATAAATGTCTTAATGTTCTTAATTTTGCAAGGGCATTTTGTACATGGGAGCTGTTCTATAATAAAAAACTAAACACGTACTAGTGATAGTGACCTTTGTATAAATTTAAAATCTATATCACAAGGTAAGAAAACCTGCAGTAAAAAAAACATTGGACATTTAAATTCTGAATTGAAGCTTTCGTGACTGCAGGAATTCATATTTTTTTAGTCTTTCGGTAAAGTTACGTAGATAGGTTCAAAGAAAATATAAAAAACTATAACGTTTCGATCGTAACACAATCAGTCGTCATCAGGAAAAGGGGGTTAGCTTCGGATCGTGTTTGTGAAAATAAGGCTGATCTGAAACACAGTAGGACCAATACCTTGGCCGTGGATGATCATTGTCTTAATGCGGTGGGCTCACACGAAATTGATTTCTTTAAGACGAAGGTGCTTTGCAAACCCACTGGCTATCAACAAAGATTCGTTCATGAAGCCATCCATATATACAGACACGGACACAATTTCAACCGAGAAGATGGGTACAAACTGAGCAATTATTGGAAGGACATTATCAACCAGTTTAAGTCATAACTGGCTGTGATGTTCCCATCCTACCATCTTCCGATGTTGGTTGTTATTTTCGGCTCTCCGATTTTACATTAACAGGTCAAATTTCTCACACTTACACAGCCACCTTCGCGCGCCGACCTAGAGCTTGCGTCTCTGCGATCTGCCATTGACATGCTAATCTCTCACATTAACATAGCCACCTCAACGCGTTCGCCGTGGAGGCCACTCACCGATTTTACATTAACATGCTAATTTTTACCTGGCAGCCCTTCAATTGGTGGAAAACCCACCACCGTCGCGGTTGCCGCCCACCACTTACGTTAACATTAGCTGCCCCGCCCATGCTGCTGACATTTGAGCAACGCCCATTTCAAACCTTTATAAACAGTTTGCGTTTAGAAGCTAACCCCCTTTTCCTGATGATGACCGCTTATGTTGCGATCGAAACGTCGTAGTTTTTTGTTATTTTCTTTGAACCTATCTACGTGACTTTACCTAAAGACCCAAAGAATAAAAACATAAATTTTTCAACCATTCGATCCCAGTACCACACACTATCTTACCGTGTAACAAAATGTAAAGAAAACTCTGTGAAATACTTGTCAGGTTGTACTGCGTGTTGTTTGGCGTAATATCCAATATTTCGTTCCTCGTGGCTGAAGCTTCTTTAAGACATTAACTTAAAATGAAATTCCATACATGGAGCAACTCCAGTTCCTCAAGATATCACGCGGAACAACGGCGCTTCAGTTCCTCAAGACAACGCGTTGAACAACGACACTCAAGCGAGTTGAGCATGTTGTTCTGACTTCGTGCCAAATGAGCAAACAGCCCAAGGAGCAACCCGAAATATACATCGGACAGCTATGTCGCACAGCTACCGCGGCTAAATAAAGCCGAATGTTACCATGATGCGATTACATGAGTGTGACCTGCATGGGCGACTTGTGAGGGGTGGGGGCATGGGTGGGGCTCGGCGTCGCATCGTCGCTCGTTGGGCTGGTGCCCGCGGGTGGCTCCACGATGCTGGGTGGCAGCTCGCGTGTCTTGAGTGGCCTTGAGTCCCTGCCAGACACAAATCCATATTTATCAAAATCGTTTTGTAAACCATTTTTATATTTTCCCAGGTAAGGCCCCACTGAGCTCCTATATCGCTCTTTTTTCAGAATCGACCTGACCAGAAATGATAGCTTATCACGTGGCAATTTAATCTCAGGCAAATGCACTAAATGCATGTTTCTAAATGTGGAGGGAAAAACTGGAGGACCTGGAGAAATCCACGCAACCACGGGGAGAACGTGCGAAATCCAAATATACCATCTTCAGGGTTAGGATCGAACCCACGACCTCCTGTATACCAGACGAGGTAGTTAACATCTCGCCACCGTGGTGAGCTTTCATCATGTTGCTGATTTGTGGACTGAAATCTGTTGCTTGTAGTGTAAATTATCCTACCTTCTGAACCACATATTTGACATTAACTGGTGATGTTAGTGCCTTTAATTAGCATTGTCCTTTCTTTGGCAAATGTCCAAGTGTAAATTGCATTGCAGCAGCATGTGATCACTTACTGCATCGCACTTGGTGAGCACAGAGACATATCTGATATTCTGGAGTAAGTTCAGGAAAATTAAGTGAAATATATTTCTAATTTCTTCATTTGGGTTCTCCACATCTATTTTATTGCAAACATGCACAGCTAGAGTAGCAACCAACCACCACCACAATAACAACAACAACAACAACCCCTATAGCAACCGTCACAGCAACACTACAAGACACCACTGCAATAATACCACAACCACAAACAGCACCGCCCATTAGCCTCCACTGTTACAATGCAGCAGATGACCAAATCACCTGCAATGTCCCCCCGGTCTCGTCAAATCCCAAAAGCTAAGCAGCCTTGGGCCCGTACAGTTACTTAGCGGGCGACCACTGTACATGACACAGGTGTAGGCCACTGCTGGGTAAGATCGTGGGCACCAGAGGGCAGTGCTTATTCTTCTACGTCTCCTCGCCTTCACCAATCCACACTGACCAGCATGAAGTGCAGTCAAATAATTCCCATGGCCTGCGTGGCGTGGGGAAGCCCTCATCCAGCAGTGGATTGACAAAACAGATGCACACTACAATGAGTTTACATCAATAACCATCGACAATCACAATACCACTACAAGTAACCTTCCACCACAGCTTAATTCCGCAATAATGTCCACACCTATGATAGCAGTTATCAATGTAATTAATTAATCTGCTGTATGCTATAAAAAAAAAAGTTCTGGAAAGACATGGTCTTAAGAAAACGGATTGCATCTAAGTTTGACAAAAATGTTCTTGCATCTGTGCTTTCATTGAAAATGCTAATGTTCCCTCATGAATTATGTTTTTTTAAACCACTTATCGTTGAAGCTGAGAGCGTATTCAAATCCCGAGAGAAGCAAAACGATGAAATATGGACGTAATCACGATAAATAATTAACTAGAATTGTAGTGGACAGTGGACTGAACATACGTGAAAGTACATTGCTAATTATTTTTCATTATTTATAGTGGGAAACAAAGAACACGCTATCTGAAATCACCAAACGCATAAAGAAGAAAAGGGAAATATAGAATGCATAGAATATAAAAGCATTTTAAAAAGAATGAGTATAAGTCAGAGAATACAACACACACATTATTGGAGAATGAAAACAACAAAAAAGGAAGTTGATGAATGATAATTCACAAACAAACTCACACTCATCTAATGTACGTATTGTCCATTTAAGATTAACTGATGACAGTCACTATTAACAACCCATGGCAATGAACAACAGGAAATGATTGAAGAGCTCAAAAGAAGCCGCAAAGTTCAGCTCAAGATAAATATAAATCGCAATAAAAGTACTTTACAACAAATTCACTAAATAAAAAGTGTGGCACAATAGGAACAGACCACTCTTTTAATTATATCCTCGTGCAGCAATGGAGTAAAGTGTGGTTTTGTGAAGGTCCTAATGTACTGTGCAGTACATCAATGCACGTGTACCTCAGCATGCGATACTGAGTCGGGCCTGTAGATGGCAGGGTTATTGAATAACCTGACCGAAACACCAGTCACGTGGTTAATGGCGACTCGGTTGAAAATGTCTGTACCACACGTGCTGTTGCATTTTACAGGTAAAGGACCCGAATATTGTTTTTGATATTTATAGAAAAGTTATATTCTTTAAGCTTGGCTTTGAATTGGTATTTTGTCATATGTTCAATAGCACTGTGCACTGTAAAGGGTGACGTACTGTAGTTAATACTGGTGGTAATTCTCTAACCCGAATACTGTTTATTCTATAACCATGCCCATGCACCCAGAATATGACTACTTGCAATGCAATTAAGAATATGACACATGTACAGTAGTAGGTTGTACCATGGTGAAAAGTACAGCACGTATACAGTGCATATACAGTACATATAATGGGTGTAAGATATCAATATAAGTGGATGGTATCGATAGACATAGCTTAGGATTAAGTAATATTCGAATAGTGAAGTATAAAGATTATGATTAAAGACAGAGATGGTGTATCAGTAGTGGAATGGGTTTAAGGGAAAATGTTATTGAGTAACTTGATCTGTACACCAATCACGTGGTTAATGGCAACTCGGTTGGAAACTGCTGTGTGTGACACACGTGCTGTTGTATTTTACAGGTTACCACAATAAATGTGATTGCCCTCGATTTGGAGCACCTGCCCACGTCCTTCATTTCCAGTGTGCAAAATATTAAAAGTAACTGCTATACGCCCACACCTGGAAAACACCACAGTGTATGCATACCTAGGATGATTACTGAAGGCCTATCAGGATCAAAATGATCAAATGAAAGTGACGAGCAAGATATGGGTGGAGCGCTTTTGGAAAACCAAATTTCTAATAGAAGAACATACCAATGTGCCAGAAGAGGAATGTTTTTATTGCTGAATACTGCCAGATAACAATTGAGTTGTAAACAGGAAATATGGCAGATAAAATGGGACAAAAGCTGAACGAACACACAAAGAAGCATGGAGATCATAGCTGTAGTTTGGGGGGGCACGGGGTGCAATGCCCCACTAACACTGGGCACCTTTATTAATTTATTTTCAGTAGTTTACAATAAAGATTTAAAATTAATTATAGGCGGCTGCGATACCTCATGTGAGAGACAAAGCGAACTGGGAATTAGACTAAGTTACAGAAATAGTAACACGTGGATCAGAGAACAAACACACATTAGAGACATCATGTTGACTTTCAAGGAAAGACTGCGAACAAAATGTCAGCCAAAGAAGAAAACACGCCAGAGAGGACGACCACAAGTGAAGCGAGCGCAAAGAGACCAGCTCAAGCGTGGGAGGTGGAGAGGCCTCGCGGGATCGTGTGGAAGAGTGACCGCGTGGGGATCCCTTCACGTAGAACTGAAATAATCACGGCTAATGATGATGATAGTTAATTATTTTTAAAAAATTAAGCATGGTGTGTGGATATACACATAAGCATGCAACGTTTAAATATGATGCAACTATGATTGTATGATCAACTAACTACAGCTTGAAAGACAATATAAGAAAACTCATGAACACGTGGAGTGAAACGTCAGACATAATGCTCAACACACGTGGGGTGAAACGTCAGTCATCATGGCCAAGACACGTGGAGTGAAACGTCAGACATCATGCCCAACACACGTGGTGGAGTGAAACGTCAGTCATCATGGCCAAGACACTTGGAGTGAAACGTCAGACATCATGCCCAACACACGTGGTGGAGTGAAACGTCAGACATCATGGCCAACACACTTGGAGTGAAACGTCAGACATCATGCCCAGCAAACGTGGAGTGAAACGTCAGAATTCCCAACAAACGTGGAATGAAACGTCAGACATCATGGACAACACACGTGGAGTGAAACGTCAGACATCATGGCCAACACACTTGGAGTGAAACGTCAGACATCATGGACAATACACGTGGAGTGAAACGTCAGACATCATGCCCAACACACGTGGAGTGAAACTTCAAACACAATGCCCAACACACGTGCAAAATTAAGTAATTCGTGTCGCAAGTTCAAAAGTGAGAGCACTGAAAGGGCAGTGATACGGCACCTGGGAGCTCCGTGGATGGAGAAGGCCTTGTTCGAGTGCTGGTCCTCCAGTTTGACCATGACATCGAGTAGCTCATGGTTCAGCTAACAGGGGTACAAGTGCACACAAGCACAGAAACACAATCAGTGTCTTTATTGCATTAAACACCTTCAGTAATTCGTCCTCATAACTCGTGCAAAGTATGTTTATTTCCCTTTTCACGTTTTAATTTAAATTTGGACTATTGACACTCAAGTGTCATTTTGGAGGATAGGACGCTTCGTCGAACTTTGTCCAGCATTGGGTCATAAACTCCTCTCGAAGAGGAAACCATCACTCCATGTTAGAGAACTGCCTGTAGAAGGTGATATTACATACTCACTTCTGACATTTTATTGACACTGGAGGCACTGTACCTTCCCACTGTCATGGTCGTCGCATGGCTGCCAAATGGAAATGTTGAATTCTCAGACCTGGAATTTTTGGCACATGAAGTGAAAATCAAATTTGGTACAATACCTGTTGTGCAGTCATTGGTGACCGGCCTGATACCATCAACTAACTATACTTGAGAACTCCGTTCAATCACGGACAGTTAACAGCTGAAACCTGGATTCCAATGCAGGCCCTCGGGAGAGCTGGCTCATTGCTCTTGAGCCCCGAGTTTCCCAAACACCATTAACTTCATGCTGCTTTAAACCACAGAAAGTGTTTCACTTGTCCAACCGGTCATAGGTTTGTAAGTTTTTACAACCTTGGTGTTTTAGCACACATATTACAAGGAAATGTAAAGTTTGTGAAATTAGACATTTGAAATGTTACATAAGTGTTTTCCAACGTAATTGGTCAAATATTTAGATCAGTACCTCATTCAATTCAACGACAGTATATAAGTAACTAGCCTTTTGCCCGTCCACGGGAAAAAGGCATTGCAGTAAATCTGAAACTTGCAAGCGAAAAGCAGACCGCAACATGATATTAATTTACAAGGTTAGAATCTCTTGTTCATCATCACATCCTTTTTACTTCTATGTCTCAATAGCGTTACGGAGATCACGTGACATGAGGGTTCTGCCTTTGTAGTGAGGGTTATAAGTTGACGCTGAGGAGGGGGGAAGAGGCGCCTTGCCCCCCCCACGTGGAATGACGTCACCTGCTAATTATCATTTGGAGGACGTCACCTGTTCATGATTATTAATGAGGGTGGCTGTTCGATGTGGAGTGACATCACCCGCTCCTGATTATTAATGAGGGGCGGGTCCATGTGGAGTACGTAACCTGTTCATGATTATTAATGAGGGGGGCTGGTCGACGTAGAGTGACGTCACGCGCGTTACACACTGACATTCTTGGGTACATATAGTAGTAAATAAAACTACATACATGAAATAAATAAAGCAGAAGTTGAGTACCTGTCCAATTTCTTTGTGAAAATTCTCTTCAAGGCCAGCGATACTCTTGAATGTGTTCACATAAAACCCCACTCGGCTACAGAGAGGAATACAATGGAATCATCAATTGGTAACGATCAATGAAATAAAGTACAGAGAAGATAATCAAAATTACAAGGTGATCCATATATAGATACACCACAAAAATAATATTGAGGAATTAGATAGAAAATAACATTTTCATTCCCACACTCGACATGTCTTGCACTGATCTTTATACACGTATTAAATATTTAACACACTCCTGATACATGGTCGAGCATAACCAGTGTAACTTGTTGACAGCATTCCATAATGTTTAAGCTGATGTTATTGATTTCTAAATACAAGGGTCATTAGAAAATCAGTGGGGTATCAATGAATGGATCCACCTCTATAATATGCATCATGAATTTACAGAACGATCGTATTTACCCATTTAAGATACATAATCTCATCCAAGCTACTTTGACCACGAGTTGGCTCCTACGAACCCTCGTGAACAACAATTAAAGTGCCTGCATACACCACGATGCTCCCAGTGTGTGACAGAGTCCTGTTTTGTTGATAGACAAATTAGGCTTAAGCACAGAACAGACACTCAGATGCAAGGCAACATGTGAGTATAGCTTCTCCCTACAGTACATTCAAGCATTTCCAATTTTGTTCATTTTTTAAACCCACAGTTCGGAGAGAGTGAAGGACAGCAGTACTTCTACCATCAAATAAAGTTCCCACCGAGAAAAAAATATTCACCAATTTAACATTTATTGTAACGTTATTGAACTCGATCACATTAATTTGAAAGAAAAAAAGTTAAAACAGGACATGTGCCCCCACAGGGCAGAAGTTAATGCACGTCTCTTGAGTCACACTGGGTTGAAAATAATGGGCCAATCCAATGAAAGAACACCCTGCAGGGAATGTCATTGTGCAGTATTAGATATTCAAACATATGTGGCTCTGAGGCTCAAGGGCTTTAATGCACTGTGTCAGGGTACTGAGCCAGCACCTCTGAGTTCGTGGGTTTGAAACCCCAAGGCTGACAAGTTTTAAAAATATATATCACCTAGCCTGGAACGTTTGCAATGTGAAGAAATTAGTATCTATGTATCCAGTAATTGCAGACTGCTTCAAAAGGAGTTTCAAATATTGCCTTTGCATGTAATGTGGCCTTCTCAGTTGTGGGGTCATGTGAGTGACAATAGACAAAACCATTTAAAATCTAAAGACTCTAAGGTTTTGCCCCTGTTGTAAAATAGCAGTTTATTAAACGAGCAACGAACTGTAATACCGTTACTCCAGCTCTATCTGGCCAATGAGCCGAGTCCGTAGAGAGATTACGACAAATAAACAACAAATGCAGTGATACTGGGAGACCCTGGGGAGAACTGGAAAGTAAAACGTGATTTTATTTCATTTCGCTCTTTGAACACATTGGCAATTGTGAATGTTTGTTGTCACCAACCCTGGGCATGCAAAGCTGTCACACAAATCCAAAATACCAAAATACCTGTTCAAAATCACTGGCAATTCCTCTTGCAAGTCATTGTTGATCTCCTCAAACACCTTTTGTGCCTTCAGGTAATCTTCTTCTGCCTACACCAAGATTATATTTGCACATCAACACATTTTACACCTCCAAAGACAGAGAGGCTTCATAGGTTATACTGACTATTTGGTACAGACATTGCAAATATTGACCCACGGAATGTTTGCTATTATTGCAATAACGTTCCAGTACCAGCTATGTGTTAAAAATATAAATATATGCAAATACAGCTCATTAGATAAGCAATTTTTCAAGTAATTTAACTGAACAATCTAAAAATGATTTCATCACCCTTCATAAGCCTGACCTTGAACATCTAAGCGGAGGCAAATCAAAGCCATGCTCGCTGGTCTTGGACTCCCCTAACGCGAATCAAGATGGAATAGAGCACACTGTTTGAATATGGGAAGTTGTATTTACCGTGTGCAAACTGGCATTGTTGATTAAAACATCAGGCCATTGATGAACTTCGGGGAAAAGGCATAAACAAGAAAGATGTTTACATTTTCATGCTGCACAATGTACCGCCATACACTACTGGAGTAAGAATAACGTTCTTTTTCTTAGGTTTTTTCGGTAAAGTCACGTAGGCTCAGCCTTTGTTATGCAGTCTATTCTTAGTCTTAAGCCTCACCTTACCATATTAATAAAAAGTATGCGGCCCTTGCCCCACCACCTTCTCCAACCATTATATAAACGGAGTGGTAGCTCCTGCAATCTCTCATTTACTTGATACAGCTGTCGTGGCTGTGACGGTACCACCTGAAGACGGAAGCTTGTGTTGCCTCCGAAACGTCGTGATTTTTATTTTATTTTACTTTTTAATGTTTTTACCTACGTGACTTTACCGAAAAAACCTAAGAATATGAATCCTTGCAGTCACGAAAGCTTCAAATCTAGAAATAACGTTCTTTGTCAATCTACTGCTCGATGAAGCTCTTTCCATGCTGTAATGGTCATGAGGCTTTTTGACAATACAGTAAAACCTTGGATTGCGAGTAACTTGGTCTCGCAATCCAAGGTTTTACTGTACTTCTCTACACGGATCAGTGTGGGCTTATCAAGGGAAAGGCCCAGAACTGGTTCAGATACCACCCGCGACTGACGTTAGCGGTGGCCGTGAATCGAATTCAGGTCTCCGGGTTCGAAACGCACTGCGATAACTACTGTGCCACTTATCCACCTCTGCACTACTATCATAGGCGGAGTTTAACTTCTATATTTGGGGAGGCAGGGGTTCACTTTGTCCCTCACATAAGGAATCGCACGTAATTAATTAAAAATCTTAATTGTTAACTATTGAAAATAAATGTATTAAGGTGTCCAGTTTGGAGGGGCATTGGGCCCCCCATGCACCCCCCCCTTAAACTCCGCCCATGACTACCATACAAAGTTAAAATGTATTACAGACCATTGTGAAAGCTAAACCGCACATCTTAAATTATAGGTAGGAAGGCAAAATACTCAGACACTTCTTCTGGTGACACGTGACTTACGTACTGTAATTTATAACCATTCTGTTTTGGTCATGGGGATTGCTTAACTATACTTCACCATGCTGACAAGTGCGGGTTGGTGAAGAGCGTGGTAGGATCAGAACTCATTCAGATATCACGCACCGTTGATGTTAGCCAAACTGTAAACTCAAGTCACCGGTTTCATAGCATGGTGCACTAACCACTACCATGCATGTGACTTAACAGAGATGACTGAAGTGTACTATCTCACACACACACCATCATGTGGGTTTCCGTAGAACTTGGCCACCCCTCCATATTTACAGCACTTCACTCGGTCAGTCAGATAGCTGAGGGACAATTTTGAAAAAGCTACTGGAAGAGTAGGCAAGGAAAAAAATCCAGCCAGATCAAGAGTGTAGAGCTTGGCATCTCAAGCATTTTACAAACTCATGAAGATGGAATGTATTCTATGGCACGAAATGGAACATCAAAAAAGCACACCCCGACATTAATGCTGAAACTGCACATCACAGGAGCCTTTTGGTACAAATTGAGCAACATTCAATATGTGCGAGGAAAATTATTGCACGCAAAGTGTTTAGTCTCTTTGTGATCACCATGTCAAAAAAAGTAATCTGGTATGAAAAATAATTATATAATATAAAAAACACTGCTCAAAAGGCACCGCACATTCAAAGACAGCTTCGAGGTTCTTAGGTTCTTTCGGTAAAGTCACGTAGGTAAAAAAATATTAAAATTTATAAAAGTAAAATAAAAATAAAATAAAAATCACGACGTTTCGGAGGCAACATAAGCTTCCGTCTTCAGGTGGAACCGTCACAGCACGATAGCTGTATCAAGTAAATGAGAAATTCTAAGAGATACTACCCCGTATATAGAAGACGGAAGCTTGTGTTGAAGACAGAAGCTTGTGTTGCCTCCGAAACGTCGTGATTTTTCTTTTATTTTTTATTTTATTTGTATTAATTTTAATATTTTTTTACCTACGTGACTTTATCGAAAGAACCTAAGAATATGAATACTTGCAGTCACGAAAGCTTCAAATCTAAAATTAAAACAGCTTCAAGGGTTAGGCAAAGGCATGCACACAATAGAGCCCGGCACTTCTTATAACTATGATGAATGTGAATGGAAATGTTATTTAGGACAAGGAAAGGTAAAGAGTTGAAAATGGGACAATGTTTGAGGCACGATGTACAGAATGATCAGGGGGAAGACCGATGCGTCACCTGGTTTTTGAGGAGGTTTGTCTGGGCAATGAGATGGGCCTGGATTTTTCCCTGACACCACTGAGGCGCAGCTTTTTCGAGCAGCAAGACCGGCTGACGGACACAGACGACACGAGACAACAGAGACGGCAAGGGGAGGACTTTACGATGCGACCGTGCATACACCGCTTGCCCCTACTGCCACCACAAAATCTCACTTTGAGCCCGAGCTTTGGTTATACACTGAGTAACTATTTGTTTCTGGGTAGTAAGTGTTATTTCCTAATTGCTTATGCCTTAAAAGTACAGAACATGGCTATTATTCCCCACAAACTTTGCTTTTATGACCAGGACAGTGATATTTTGAAATTTACCTATTTTTCAGAACATTCTAGATAGATTCAGTGCTGAGTAAACTTGGAGTAACTTCTCGAACATTCTAGGACTTTTCAGTAATATAAATAGTAGTATAAATACAGGGGCCTTAAGCCCACCAGTTCAGTTTCGTTCCAGCTGCCTAAGTGGATACATATCTGCATTTTTCTGAGATGGCATCAAGAGGCTGCAAGCATCCGGCAGACGCATTTTGCTATTTCTAGATTTGAAGCTTTCGTGACTGCAAGGATTCATACTCTTAGTTCTTTCGGTAAAGTCACGTAGGTAAAAAATGAAATTAATAAAAATAAAACAATAAAAATCACGACGTTTCGGAGGCAACACAAGTCTCCGTCATCAGGTGGGACCGTCACAGCCAGATTTGCTGCATTTTATTGTTTTATTTTTATTAATTTCATTTTTTACCTACGTCACTTTACCGAAAGAACTAAGAGTATGCAATTTTGCTATGACCGCGGCAATTTATCAAGACAAGAGCGTAAAAGTACTCTGTGGAAGCATCTGCTAAGATGTGTGAGGCCTACAAGGCATATTTTGGCATGCCTGTCAGGGATCAAGACAAACCCTGGGCACCTCATTTCAGCTGCAAGCAATTAACACAAACTCTGGAAGGTAAGATGGACAAATGGTTTCTCAGAATTTTATGTTATAAAATTTTTTTAAAAATGTACATTGTAAAAGTTTTTAATTTTAAAATGTTTTACAATTTTCAATGTTATTGAAAAAATATATCATGAAAAATGTTGCGAGCATTTCTTACACATTAGTCATGGTTGAAATGTATTCTTGTAGGATGGTACAGAGGGGAAAAGAGAGCCATGAATTTCACTATCCCAAGAATTTGGCGGGAACCCAGTGACCACTCAAGCAACTGCTACTTCTGCATGGTGGACCCTTCCAGACGTCGGACTGGCAAGAATGCACCTGCTATCACGTATCCGGACCTTCCTTCATCCATCGCCCCGCTGCCACACTGCCAAGAACTCCCTGTACCCACTCCTCCAGAGAGAGAGAAGCCGCCTTTAGAAGAGACGAGCAAGTCAGAGAGCGAGGAAGACGTTGTAGATCCAGATGACAATTTCAGAGGTGGAGCTGAGGAGAGAAACCCATACTTCCCCAACCAAAAAGACCTCAACGACTTGATCAGAGATCTTGGTCTCACAAAGTCCAATGCTGAGCTTTTGACGTTGAGGCTCAAGCAGTGGAACTTGTTGGATAAAAGTGTGCAAGTCGCAGATCAGAGGAAGCGTCACCAACATTTTTGCAGCTTCTTCACCCGTCAAGATGGGCTCTGCTTCTGCCACAATGTGACCAGTCTGTTCGAGGCAATCGGAATCGCCTGTAACCAGAATGAGTTGTGCCTCTTCATTGACAGCTCATCCAGGAGCCTCAAAGCTGTGCTGCTCCATAATGGTAACAAGTACCCATCTCTTCCCCTGGCTCACTCGGTAAACCTCAAAGAGGATTACAACAGCATCAAGACCTTGCTGGACGCCTTGAAGTATGATGAGTATAGCTGGGAGGTCATCGGAGACTTCAAAATGGTGGCATTCCTGATGGGTCTCCAAGGCGGTTTTACCAAGTTTGCCTGCTATCTTTGCCTTGGGACAGCAGAGGCACCAAGGTGCACTACCGCAGGTGGGACTGGCCACAGCAGACCGAGTTCTCTGTGTGGAGGAACAACTTCAAGGGGAAGCCACTGGTGGACCCCCGTAAGGTGCTGATTCCACCACTGCACATCAAATTGGGCCTTATGAAATAATTTGTCAGAGCTGTAGATAAGGAGTCGGCAGCCTTCAAGTACCTTCAAGACTTCTTCCATAAGCTGTCTGAGGCAAAGGTCAAAGCCGGACCACATATAAAGAATATCCTGGAGTGCAATTAATTCCCCAAGAGGCTCACTAGTAAGGAAAAAGTGGCTTGGGACAGCTTTGTCACAGTGGTTCGTGGCTTCCTGGGCAATCACAAGGTCGAAAAATATGTGGAGCTGGTTGAGACTCTGGTGTAAAACTACGGCACAATGGACTGTAGGATGTCCCTCAAAGTCCATATCCTTGATGCTCATCTTGATAAATTCAAGGAGAACATGGGAGCGTACTCAGAGGAGCAAGGCGAGCGCTTCCACCAGGATATACTGGACTTCCGCTACCAAGGACAGTATAACGAGAACATGATGGGAGACTACATTTGGGGGCTGATTCTTGAAAGTGAATTACAGTATAATCGTAAATCTCGAAAAACTACTCACTTCTAAATCTTTTGTAGTCATTTGTGTATTACTTTAGCATAAATACATGTACATTTTTATTCATATGTCGGTTTTATCTGACTTTATGTGAACGAAAAGACACAAATTCGCCCGTTTTCTCATTGAAAAGAGGTAAATTTCAAAATATCACTGTCCTGGTCACAAAAGCAAAGTTTGTGGGGAATAATAGCCATTTTCTATACTTTTTAGGCATAAGAAATTCAGAAATAACACTTACTACCCAGGAACAAAAATTGTATTACATAGTGTTACGAAGGAGAGGAAAAATAGCAAAGCAAATCCAGGCATAGTTGTCAAGACTAAAATCTAAATGCTATTCATCAATATTCAATATTTTTGGATTCCCCATAAGCCACATCCATGACCTTTTTCTTGAGAAAGCCAACATGTTTAAATTAAAATGAGTGGTCTGAAAAGGATGGCATGAGCACATTCAAATTATTTTATAAATGCTACATCTTGCAAAGGCTACAGGTAGGACCAAGACTCCGGTAGTTTCTACCTTTGCTACTTTGACATCTTCCTTTTTCTTGGTGCCCTGCAGTGACTCAAGGTGGTGTCTGGCACTGTCATAGTCCACCAGCTTCCGTCCACGTTTGGAAATGCGTGACTTCAAAGACAGACATAATAACAGCAAGTTAGTTAATTACACTTTACATCGCAAAACCTGTGTCATAGCTCTCCAATGTGTTTTCTGGTTGTGATGTGTGTTGTTCGACAGGATGTCTGATGTTTCACTTCACGAGCTGATAGCATTTTCAGTTCCTTAATAATGAACAAAATCTCCCAAGATGCAGGAGACAAACGTGGGACATGATGCCTGAAGGATTGAGAAAAAGTAGCTCCCAGAATCAAGTGGAAGCTCCAGCACGTGGAACGAGATGCGTTGGATCATCGTGTTGAGCAACGCCTGACACAAACCTTCACGTTTATAATAATTGTCTTACTAGAGGTGGAGGCAATTCAACAAGTGGAGGAAATGTAACATGAACGGTTCGTTGATCGGTGATACCTTGATGTCGGGGAACTGTCCGAGGTACGTATCCAGAGTGAGGAGTGAGTTGTCAACCAGCTTCTCGTGAAAATCACCCCAGAGCTCATCGCTGTTCTGTACAAGATGCACGTAAGTGCACAGAGTCCACACGATTTACATAGCCAACATTAATAAAGTCAACATCATTTTAATAGTCAACATTATTTTAATGAGGCCATGGAGGTCAGGTTTGCTGCGCCATGTTTAATCTTATAATCTTTTCCCCTTAGTGTCCGTGCATACGAATTCAAAGAGAACATGTGCAGCATTGTAAATATACATAAATGGAGGGACAGTAAAATTATTTTGACAATGATTCAAAATGTTTCATTGCCCAGCCTAATTTTAGACTAATATAAGCTCTATCTATATTCACGTGATAATATTAATGTTACGATAATATACTGAGAAATTGTAAAAATATGTATTTACTCAACTGATTGTGTAGAGTTATAATAGCTGATAAACGAACGTGTTCACCGCTTATCATATGCACGGTATACATACCATTGCACTAAGTGTCTGTGGAGTACCTGTGATATATCCTGTACATCTTCTTTTCCATGCCAGTCAGGTTCATAAATATCTTGAAGGGTTTCGTTCATCTTCTTTGAAGATTCATGCATTGCTGCAGAGATATAATCCACACTGGAAACTTGACAGCAATAATATATTTTTTTTTTATAGAGCACTCTCTTTTAACCCGGAGCGTAGCAGAGTGCTTTACACGTAATAAGTGACTTACGTCACATCTCAATAATTTCAAAGGGCACCCCTCGTGGCAGTTGTCCCAGTGCAGCAGAAGAAGACTCGGCACCCGGCCTGCAAGTAGGCATTCGTCTGCCAGTCGTGAGCAATGATTGGTACGTGTAATTCCGGTATAGACCTTTCCTCGATAACATCAGATTTCTGACATGTTTGTTTGTTAGCTGCACCGCATTGTCTTATTAAGAACAAGTGCCTCAAGACAAAGAAATACCTTGGTATTCCACCATTGGAACCTCATTTGCCAGTAAAAAATATGATAATTGTTTTTTTACCCTTCTATCTGGCAATAAAACTGACACCTTTTTTACAAGGAGTCATGTTTGCATAGACCACAATACCTGCAGTCATAATGCAATAAAAAACATAACGTTTTGTTATGCGGTGCAGCTAACCACAATACCTGCAGTCATAATGCAAACAAAAAACATAACTTTTTGTTTGCATTATGACTGCAGGTATTGTGGTCTATGCAAACATGACTCCTTGTAAAAAAAGGTGTCAGTTTTGTTGCCAGATAGAAGGGTAAAAAAATAATTATCATACCTTGGTATTATTTTACCTGGTAACCGGGGATAATTCATTGTGTGTGTTACAATGAATGAGAAATTTGCAGGAATTTGTAACATTGTGGTATTTACCTTTCACAGCCGTAAGGTAGCCTCGTAGCTCTTTCTGTAATCGGCTTCCCTCGTTCTATGCAGGAGAAGGAAAAAAAACACTGAAAGTGAGCACACCAAACTCTTAAACCAACATACTCTTAGTATTTTCGGTAAAGTCACGTAGGTAAAAAATGAAATAAAAATAAATAAAAATAAAATAATTAAAATCACGACGTTTCGGAGGCAACACAAGTCCCCGTCAACAGGTACGACCGTCACAGCCAGATTTGCTGTATCAAGTGAGGCAGGGATTCCAAGATGCAAGCTCTCCCCCTTAACTTGTATTTAAGAACTTGCATCTTGGAATCCCTGCCTCACTTGATACAGCAAATCTGGCTGTGACGGTCCCACCTGATGACGGAGACTTGTGTTGCCTCCGAAACGTCGTGATTTTTATTAATTTATTTTTATTAATTTTAATTTCATTTTTTACCTACGTGACTTTACCGAAAAAACTAAGAGTATGAATCCTTGCAGTCACGAAAGCTTCAAATCTAGTCTCAAACCAACACCCATAACCATTACACTGTTGCACTTTTGAATGATAACAGTGATATTATGTCATCCGTTTGAAATGCATACATTGCATGGGATGTTTATTCATGCCAATACTGTAAAATTACTTAACAAGCAGTCACAAATTTTCAATCTTAAGCCTCAGTGCTTTCAACATTCTTTCTGGCTTTTTTAATGTACAGAATTAGCAGGTCACAGCAACACAATTACATAGAGGAATCATCCTTTTGGGCCATCCATTAAATGCATTACCTCAAATCAACAACAACACAATTAAAAGTAATGAAGTTAAACGGTTCAATCATGTGTTTGTTTAGAATAAGCTCATGCCAATACGTGTTAAACTAATTTATCCAAGTGCTTAATGTGATGTGACAAGCGTGCTGTCTTTCCGTGCTGCCAAGGTGTGTGTGTGCATGTTTGCTCAGGCTGCATTCCCTGTGTTTCTTGCCACTGCCTTGCTAAGCCGTGAACCCGATGTCATCACATTTATAGAGCCGAGCAATCAAACGCCCGTCTTATGCAATTACTATAATAAATGGTTCTGACTGTTGAGTTTGGAGAGGTTGAGTGTTGAGTTAATTTCACCTACTGAGATTTCGACCATCTGCTTTGAAGACAAGAAAGTGCCTGACCCTGTTAATTGTGGTTTCTTTGAAAATGTAAGATATTTTTCTTTGAGTCAAAAGTCCTATTAATGCATGGTGGGGGTCAGGGGGGCAGTGCTCGAATTACCTTTCTATACTCGAGTCACGTCCACATTCCTCACATCTCATTCCACCGCATCATCCTTCCATCTCACCCCAGTTCTCCCCTCTACTCCTTCTGCCCTGCATCGATGGCACCTTCATAGCCCTTTTCAATGCATTCGCTTCGTTTATTCTCAGCCCGTGCGCAAATTTCTAAATCTAGCCTCCCAAAACTCCTCGATACCATGAATATCCCCACTGTTAACTTCTTAATTCCTCCTCGTTTACCCTTTAGAGATATTCCCAAATTCCAGATATTCCAAACTTTCCATATTACTTAACTGCCTATTTTAGCAAGACCCTCCCAAAGAGGACACAATGGAAACAAGGCCACAGAATAGCTATGCCGAAATCAGGAATTGGCATATTTTGCTATTAATATATTGTGTGTACTTGTTAGATTGCTTATTTCAAGTACTGTATGTACAATCACTGTTGTCCCACATTTAGCTGTGATACATACATACTGTTTGTTGAAGTTTTGCACTTGTTCTTCAAACTGTACATCCTTCGTCTCATCCGCTTTTCCCAACTTCTGCAGGACCTGCAAAAAAACGTGCGTTACATCACCGTATAAAAAAACGACAGGCTATTTGTATAGCTAAAATTACAACGGCACTTAAATTGCAACTTTTAATTACTAATCATGATTACATAATTACAATTTCATTAACCTTTGAAAGAAGCTAAAGAGCCAGCAGTCATTACCATTAATGACACAAATATTCACACTCCGAATTCATCATGCGACTAGACGTGCCTTTCAAATGCTCTTACGATGCAAGAGATCTTGCGATTACTCACCGCACAGAATTATGTACGTGATTAATAATGCTTAGCAAATACTTTGATTACATTAGCCCTCAAATCGATGTTTTATCAGGCAGCATTCAAGTCTGTTTATATTAAATCGATGGCGTAAACACGTGACACACCGTTGTCAAATTCGATTACAGTATGCGGTTTGTGCTTGACATTGGTGAACTCTTACAGAATTGTGCCTGCGCATGTTAAATACAGCAATGTATAACACGTCCGTATCAAGTAAATCGTATTTTAACCTTCTTCAATGACACAATAATTAATCTCTTCCAGTTCCAATTTTATTCCTCTATCAGCACAGTATCTCTGGCATGACAGCATTGTACAGGCTACTAATCAACGCGCAGTTAGAGAGCCTTGTTATAACATCCGTCTGGTACAGCGAAGCACTCATGCGCCACTAGCTTGTTTAAATTCTTGAATACCATTAGTTATTTTCCTTTACGCCGGAGATAATTTACACGTGAAACCACGTGTAAATTTGCCTTGATTCTATTATAAACATGTTTACTTAGAAGGATATTTGACTATTCCCTCAGATGTAATTTATCCTTTCCAAAAGTAAATTAAATTTGCAGTCTGCCTTGGCCTCAGCCGTCAGGACTGGTCTTTCCTCATTAACGACTTGCCTCTCACACTTACTCGACTGAGAAAGAGTAATTCAGCCTCCATGGACCACCACCCACTGTGTATCTAAGCTGCGAATAAAAACAACACAACGGCGGTCCGTGGCTCCAGGTTTAGGAGGCAACTTAGTCTGCCTCGCGTTTTACGTTGTCAGGCGAGACTGCGTACACGTGGATTAATTGAGAAACTGCAATGTGCCGGCGGTGGCTTCACCATGTTCCTCCAAAAAATATATCCTGAAGCAGAAGATTATTGCTGGATACAAATGTGATTTTGTAGCTGTGTTCCTTACCTGTATATTGATATTCAGTGCTAATGTGCCATTTTATTGAGGGTCTACTGTGTGTTACCATGATACGGTCTGAGACCACTTTGTTGTTATTTTTGCTGCCTTGCCCAAGCTTGATAAATGGGATGTATATAATTAATTGTCTGATTTATTTATATTAAGTGATTTGCTCACCTTTTTCTCTATTTTGCACTCCTATAGTGTTTTGTATTTTTTGCTGTTGTAACTTGCAGACCCGCCCACACTGGACATCTGTGAAAAAGAGCTTCATAGCTCATCGGATTCCCCCAGTCTAAATAAAGATTCTGATTATGAAGAGGACCTATGGACTCACCCAGAGTCTCAAAAAGAAACCGAAATGAAACTCAGATGTGCTAGCAGTGGCTTCATCCATCACCTCTTTCTCCAGCAGGTGGGCACAGGCATCCCACGTAGCTTCTCATGAAAATTGCTGATGGAAGCACAGCACTTATGCATTATCATCATCACCACACATTGTCTTTGTGTTCCAGTAATCAATTAGTCCATCTGTAGGAGTCATTATCACATGAGGCTGGAAACTACCGAGGAGGATTTTGTTGCCTCTTCAACCTGGAGCCACGAAGTATCACTGGTGATACAATACGCATCAAAAGTGGGCCGATTCGTCATGCATTGTCAATGCCTATGGCAATAGACCTCAACCTAGATCTAATGACAACTGACATCTCAATCGTATGCAAACCGAGCATAAATTTACATGTAACTCAGGCAATTTGTTCATCACATATCTCAGTATTGATCGGCATGGGCATCTACGCATTAGGGGCTGCAAACATTCAATGCACTTCTAACATTCAAAATGTAACAAAAATAATAATGCATGTGCTTCACTACTCATTCTAAATAATGACACATGGTTAGGTGACGAGGACAGGAAGTTGCATAGGAAACAAGCAAAAAGGCATTTTTATTTCCATATTCTCACTTCCATTGCCATCACCACCAGCCACAGCCAAGTCTCCCTACCGCGACAACACATATATGATCCCTGGCACCGCCATTACCTCCACCTGCTCAAGTCCAGGTTTAAGACCTTCCACCTTCCATTCTGCTTACGACCGTTTATCTCTCAGTCTCTCTGTGAACTTTCCTCGCTCACGTGATTTCTTTTTTGCTCCGTTTTGTTTAACTGCAGCTTCCAACTGCGTTACCCTTCTGTCCCCGATCCCCTTGATGCACACACTCCTCCTCCAGCACAGAATCCCAAATTGTACTGCACTTCTGTGGTATGCTCCTCTTCAGCAAAACGGCCACCAATTCCAATAACGAATGCAAGCACACGCACTCATTAGGTTTCCTCTTTTCGTTTCTCCATCATTGCTCCCCCACACGTGTTCACGCTTTTGTGCATTGCCATAGCAATACAAATTTGGGTTCCCAATCGTCAACATTCGTGTGGGGTAAAAACCCCGTGGATTTGGTCACGAGAATCCCAATAATGTGGGATTTATTAGGCTTTGTTTTCTGTATGGTAGGGGATAAAGTATGCGATTGCTACAAGCTGTGACGTTTTCCTTCATCTTGGTGTTTAATTATGAAACGTGCAATCCCCCGTGAGCCAAACTACAGGGTGTTTGTCCATGAAGGTAACATCCATCCATTATTCAAGAATTATAGTTGGACAGAAGTTTAAGCTAGGTCGATAAAACTACACGTAAACACTTGGTCGTGTGACGATATGATCGTTTGAGTGTTATCCCTTTAAACCTCCCACGTGTCCACAATGACGTTGTCAAATCACATTGTATGGAGATGAGAGACACAGGTGTTTGAAAATTCATCAAATGCTTCTGTTATGTGCTTTGAAGAGCACTCGTTTGGTTTTAAAAGGTTGAAGCACATTGTATAAGGAAAACGATGCCTGCATTTCAACCACGCAGTTCATACCGCTGTACGTTGATAGTTGTTCAATAATGGATTGCTTTGATGGGCAAACCACCATGCAAGCTTGCTTGGGCTACGTTGTCAGCAAAGGACGATCGGTGCAGCAATATCCATCATTGTCCTGTCTGTCCTATGCTTCAACCTCTATACTCCCACTTTGACCAACCCGCACAGCGTGGGTGGCCCTCTCTTACAGCACTATACACTATTGACACAAGGGCTGTAACATGCACAGGCACAAAAGTGCATTGATATACCTTTACGGACACCCCGTGGACATGGTACACGCGCATCTCACCATGATGACAGAGATTAACTCCCCCAGGTTGCTAACAGGGGGCATTAAAGCAGCTCCGCTTCTGATGGAACATATGGATTGTATCCAAAGGGGTCACGTAAGCAAGCGGTGTGAAAAGCATGCACGTGTAAAAATAGCAGCAGTTACGTCAGCCGATTGGATTCCGTGTGACATTCAATCTATGGCTTCTCAGATTGGATTAGTGCATACCAAGACTAAGATACGCAAATAACATGAACTGACGGCGTATTTAATACAAATAAATTACAGCGTGTCCTCTTCACTCTACGTAAGACTGGGGAGATGCCATGTGACTAGTAACAAAACAAATGCAATGTTGGGCCCAACATTGGCATGAGGTTGGAACCGTTGGTCCATCATTGGCCCAACGTTCCATGTTTACTTTGAAGTAGCCAAGGCTGTAGGGAGATATTTTCCGAATGAGGTCTGTCGAGTGTGGAAATATGTTCCAGGACAGACCGGCTGAAATTAACGACTGAATACACAGGGTGATCCTCATTATAGATATCCCACTAAAATAAATGTGGAAAATTATGGGAAAAATATTTCAATGCATTTCCATGTCACCACCCACCAATCTGACAATACAACATGCACGTAATGTATTCCACCGTAAGATATGGAGCCATCGCGTCCCCAATATGCAATCACCTGTTGATAAGTGGGTCATCAGAAATCAGTGGGGTATCTATAAATGGATAATCTGCAGTACCGCAAAGCAGTTCTCGGCGGAGCTGCGGAGCGGTGGCTCGCGAACTAAACCCCAGTTCGATTCCCAGCCGTGGCCAACATCAGTGGCGAGTGATATCTATAAGAGGTCAGGGGCTCCCTCTTCTTTCACCAAACCACACTGATTAGTGACATGGGGGGGGGGGTGTCTTCATCTTCCAAACAGCGGTTTTCGACAAAAAGGTTGGAAATTATTAAAGCCATAATACAATTTCACCATGACAGTACCATGCACTGGATGTAGTACGCAAATGTTTGGTAATATTAATATCCACAAGAGGCCACGGTGTGTACAATGCAGGATATATAATTATTTGCAATATACGGTACTCCTTATTCATTCATTGCAGTGTATCGTAATCATAGCACCATCGTACAGAATTTGCAATTGGGAATCGCCAGGATAAAAGGCCAGTCGTCCGCCACACGTGTGCAGCAAAGCACTTTAATGCAATTCAGCTCCGTGCACACGACAAGACGGCGATGTTGGAATGAGTCGAGCGCATACCAAACATTTAATTACGATCACGGGGAGTTCATTCATCTGTCCAACCCCGTGGCGTAGCGCGGCGTTCAGAAATGCACTACTTAATCTGCTGCTACAGAGCAGAATTAATTTACGTGCAATGCCACCAAATGCTAACACTAAGATTGTTTAAAATGTATGCAAAAAAAAAGAAGTGTGTGTTATTTGCGCAGAAACAGCTGGGAGAGAGAGAGTAAGAGCAGTATTTTGTTCCTTTGTGCACATCACAGCCGACGTTTCCTCCCGTGCACTCATTCATTCGCGTTCCTCGATTCATTCTTGCGAGTAAAAGGCGTGCCCCCTCTCGACAAACACGACAGCCCTGGCCACGTCGTCAGCATTGCTTCACAGATTGCAACAATGCGAGTGCATCCACCGGTGGCATTGTTCCCAACAAATTGCAACAATGCGGCAATTCACACTCAAACACGAATCCATTCTCCCGTTGTGCATCACCACTCCCATCATGCGCTTGCTCCCCATTCATTAAGTCGCTCGCTCGCTCATTCGCTCCTGGATTCGTTCGTGTGATGATGGCGTGCATCCCTCCACACACACGCACAGGTCACGCACATACACACAAGGTGTCGGCTGCTGCCCGACCTGTCTGTACCTTCTCCTGGGCTCTGCTTATGCGTTTCTTCGCATTTTTCGCGAATATGCCAGTGCTGGTCTTGCCCGGATCCGCCATCACGACTCCTCCTCTTCCACCACCTCCTCTCCTCCTCCTGCTCCGCTTCACCCTTTATTCCTGCACGGCGGCGGGGGCTTTATTTGTTTTGTTTAATTATTTACTCCGAATAGAATCGCTTCTTAGCGATCCACGGCCGGATCGGGCATTAGCGAAAAGCAAATTGTTTTGGACGCGCTGGCAGCTGATGCGATGATGTAGCCACGTTACGATCGCAGTCCCCTTCATGTGTTGAGACGAATAGGTCCCGAATACTTACGTCGTCTGTATTGCCTTTGAACAAGCTGTTGGGAAGCAGTGCTCTTAGCGAACACTTATATATAGGCATAGATGCTTGCTCTGGCTGTTGATGTTTGACACACCACGACAGGTACTGATTTTAATGCCGAGTCAACCTATGCGAGGTCCAGGGCCGGTGCAGATGTTCGCCGCTGATGTTAGCCGTGGCTGGGAATCGAAATGGGTTTGTAGCGTAGTGCATTAACCACTACACCGCTACGTTTTCCAGAATTACCAATGTAAGTGGCAACAAAGTTGCGTATGCCTAGGACAGCGATTGAGGGCAGACCCACAATCAAAAAGACCCAAATCAGAAAGAGAGCAGGTTGTTTGTCGTGCTTTAGAATGCCGAACTTTTATACTGAAATGTAACATTGCAATGTGCCCCATAACGTTTTTTTTTTCAAGCGGTCAATGCTGTCAGCTATGTGTGGCACGGTTCAGACACACCACGGTCATTAACGATGAATACTGTGATCGAACATAACCTAAAACGTGCGCAAAGCATGGAGAGATGCATGCCTGAATTACATTGAGATACAGAGGAACGCACGCATCGGAGAACGTACGCAATTTAGGAGACATCATCCTTAAAAAATAAAATAGGTCCGCTGGAAGGGATGGTGGCCGATGGTCAATAATAACGGAGCGGCAGCTACGGAATGGAAGGCGTTCCTTAGGATGACCCCCGGTTGTGGAGATTGAGTGCCGAGATCGGTTCGTGTGCAGGTGCTGTATGGATTGTTGTATCACCGGATCGTGAGAAGTGTCAGCGGCTCAAGAAGGCCTTCATCCAGCAGTGGATTGATCATGACTGATGATGACAATTCAATGAAAAAAGAGCGTTTAAATCGGTTGTTCCAACTGATTCAGTCGGTAACTTTTCGTGTTGTTTGCTGTCCTTCCCCCGTATCAGCAGGCACAATCTATGTTTATTATTGGATGAAGGCCGTGTTTCTTGGTCGTGTAATTTTATTATTTCAATAGTACATCGGATAGTTTCCCCGATAATTACGCTCTCAAACCACAAATTAAAGATAATTAAAACATATGCATCAATAACAAGCCACGAAGATAAATGCGTCACGCATGTTAATCCAACGATATTCAGTTGATCACGGGACTGTTTACATCGTGACAGCATCTCATTAACGACAGCGAGGGCATTTTTATCGGAACAAATCGTTTTTTTATTTAACACGGTTACATCATTGTGATGTTATTCAGAGTATAGTCCAATTATATATTGAATTACTTCGTGGCAATTCACACCATACAAACATATTTGGGTTGTAAATAAATTACCATTTTAGGACAATTAAGAGTGGCGGTAGCATGTTCAGTTCCATTTATAAGGAATCCTATTGATGTATAACATCGCGTTTTGTGCTGTAAATTAAATTGGATCACAAGCAATTACAAATACTGTGCTCATTTGGCTACACACTCCAAACATTGTGAATATTATTAAATGCAACAGTGTCAGTTATTCATCACTCTTGTGGAATTCCCATAGCCCAATCAACGAGAGGATTACATAAAAACTCTCCTTTGTCCATTACACTGCTTTAATGCAAATTCTCCAGGAAACCCAGGAAGTCGGGCCACTGCATACTTCCGCCTTGCCTCCAAACCGGAGTCCAACCAAACATGAGCTGGGGAAATACCAAATACGAGAGCAATAGTAGCCATCGCCATCATTAACCATGATCAAATCCACTGCTGGATGAAGGTCACCACAAGCTGTCATCGTCTCACATGGGTTTGCTACGCAACAATCCATCTATCTCATACACAGCGTCTCATTTCATTGCTCCATCTTCTTTGTGGTCGTCCTCTCGAGCATGTTCTCTCTTTTGTATGTTGAACTCCTTTTCGCAAGAGCTGGGAACCCGTGCTTATCGGAGGTGTGGGGGGAGGCAGAGCCGGCCTAGCCACTAAGCGACCCTTGCAATTGCAAAGGGCCCCGTGGCCAGCAGAGGGCCCCCTAGAGTCACTGCTAGCGAGTGGGTGAAAAAAATCATACATCAAAGGGGCCTCCAACCAAATTTTGCTTAGGGCCCCCAAAGGTCTAGGGCCGGTTCTGGGGGGAGGTCAAGCTAAACACAAAAACAGTTCTAAAGAAATTAAAACTTGATTTGAAGCTTTCGTGACTGCAGGAATTACTCTTTGGTTCTATCGGTAAAGTCACATAGATAAATAAAATAAATTAAATAGAATACGACGTTTCGATTGCAACACAAGCAATCGTCATCAGGTAGAAAACAAACCAAGTGAACTTAGAAATAGAATGCAATCCAACACAGAAAGTCGGCTAACACAAGTCAGCACCTTACCTGGTTGATTATGTTTCTCCAAAATTGCTAAATTTGAGACAAAACACGGACACTTGGACACACAGACAGACAGAGGTTTCTGTGTGTCTATCTTGTGTATCTCTGTCTGTGTTGTCGCTCTCTCTGCTTGTGTCTGTCTGTGTGTCCCGTATTCTTTATCTAAAGAAATTCGTTTTGAATTTTGATGTAAAAGTTCATAGGTTCAGTGGCATCTGAATATCAGAAGAGCGTTCCAGACGGCTGCAGAAGCGCATCTGAAAGCGCGCGATACGGTGACCGTCTTTGTTTGATGGTTCGCCAAAAGCTGCTTGCGAGGATGACCGTAGCCTTGGTGAGGTTGATGCCGACTGACCAGACCACCAAGGGTATTGTGGTTCGTTTGCGGCAACGCACTTTGTGTGTAATGAGCGCGACCTCATAAAACAGGTGACTTTTCAGGCAATGGCCCTTTTCACATGGAAAGGCCAGAGGTAAGAGTTATTGTCATCCCAGCGTTTCACAATGCAACAATCCATTAAGCTCCTTGCACATAAGCCGGTCTAAATGCTCCATCTCCACAGCGGTCATATTTTTTTTCTTTTAAGGCAGTTATTGACAAATGTTGAGCTTTTTTTATGCTCGTGCACCACTGCCAATGCAATATCACCAAATGTTAACATTTCAGTACATGTTTGTTGTTTCTAAAGATAATAGACACAAGTACCTGCTAGATGCATACACATACCATAACATAAATTAAGCATATTATAACCTATGAAAACTGAATACGAACCCGTTGTCTGCAGTCTCGCTCTCATGAGTAGAAAAAAATTCACATTTTAAGTCCTATGGCTGTTTTGTTATTGTATGTCAAAAGTTTTGATCGATAGTGCTCGGTCTCAAATCAGGTCACAGCTCTTAAGCTTCAACATCTATTCTTTAACTACCACTTTGTCTGGAATGGAAAGTCAATGAGTTCATATACTGTTAAATACAGGAAAGGCTGCACTTGCCTCCTGACAGTTTATCTATATGATCACGGCCTCAAGAGATTTATGCCCAGTTATATATTCAAGTAGTGCAACTGTTCAAGGTTAAATTGTCATATTGGAAATGTGAAGAATGATTGATACATGTGTATGTTGAACAAGCTCACTTTTACATTGTAAAACTTGCTGCACAGAATAAATGTTAGATATATGAACTTGTTCAACCCAACTTTAGCGAGAAAAGTGTTTTTACATAAACTTTAGTATATTTCCAAAGAAATCTGACTATATGAATACATAAACTATTTTAAATTAGATACAACTGAAGCTACCAAAGATTTCCACTTTGCAACCATCATCAGCCATGATCTATCCACTGCTGAAGGCCTCCCAAAGTCATTATCATCCCTCAAGTCTCAAAATGCAATAATCCATCAAGCTCCTGCACACGAGCGGATATCATTTCTCCCACCTTCGTAGCGGTCATCTTCTCGGGCATTCCCTCTCCCCCATGCGTATGTTTATGCGGGTTGTCTTAGATGAGAAAATGGTCCAGTTAACATGATTTGTAATAGGACCAAGTAAAGTTTACAGCAAAATCCATTTCTTTACATGTAAAATTAAGTAATTGTAAATAGATAAATTTTTTTAATGGTGAAAAGTGTTCTTTTGGTCTCATATAATTAACATTTTCAAATAATGATCCATTACGGCTTTGTGCAAGTCACACATATGATAAGGCTTAACAATGACTGAATATTTCATAAGCAAGATTTTATTATCTTACAACAAAACATGGTGAATAATGGCATGTAAGCCACACTATTCATTAACTTTACATCAATATAAATACTTGATAGCAGATGGCCAAACACAAAGTAGACGAAATTCAATACGAGCAATTGCTTAGCTCTAAGTTGGACTTGCTTGGGTTACTCCTGGTGTCACTGGATGCCTAATGTGTTGTTTAAATGTTAATTAGTTACATTCAATTACAAGTTACTCTTATTAGCCTTACATATTTTGACAATAATGTTCAATTCCATACTAAAGACAATCTGTACAATGATGATGTGTACTGCTATGCACAAATACATTATTAATAACCCTCGTATTTTTCAAGTGAACTTAGCACTTAACTGGAGGCACATGTTGGCAGGTGTTAATTTACACAGAACTCATTTTCGACCCATAAGAGGTTTTTTCGGTGAGATCACGTAAATATATGTCGTTAAAGCCCACCACCACCCGACACAGCCAACTAGTAAGGGTTGTCACGTAAACAGAACATGCCAATTCGCCACTAGTACAGCACACCGGTGTGTTGGAGAGCCAAGCCACAACATTTACAATCTGAGTACGACGTTTTGCCAGTAATGACAACTAGCTTCATCAGGCGACAGATTTGTGACGTTTAGTCAAATATAGGTTCGAGCATAGAAATCGAAGTTGTGGGAACATTTTTACTAGATTTAATGTCCAATGTTTTCTGGTGAATATCACCAATGTTGAGGGCATTTAAAATTAGACAATTTAAAGTTATGGTTCAGTGGTGACGAACATATGCTTCATGCATTTATTCAAGCACTTTCAACAACAAATTATCCAGTTGACGCTGTATAATTGCAAAATCCTTTAAAATTAAACTAGCAACAGGCTTCAAAGTTTCATCATAGAATGAGAATTATGTGGAGTGTTTTCTTATTTTGGATAGTTAACATAATTTTTTACAAACGTTCACATACCTTCATACTAGTACACCAAATAAATAATTGGCATAACCTTCCCTTTTGACGTAGTACCTGTCTCACACTGTGGTGATTACATATTTCCGGCAGTGGAGTGGGAATTACTACTCCGCAAAGCGTATAGATTTAATGCGCCGAGAGGACTGCCCTCTGCCGTACACACGTGGTACGGATGGTCTTTTCTCATGACGTTTTGAATCCTGAAAATCCACTGCCTGGCCCCCTCCGCTGGGCACTGCAGATATTGCAGAACTGAGGACAAAAATGCAAAACATATTCCATTTAGTACATGATAAACATTGAAATGCAATTTCATATCATGAATCCCTTATGACACGTAAATGCAAGTACTTTCATTTAAATATCGATTGATAAATCCATGTCTTATAGAGTAGAGGCTGGGGCTTATACATGACATTCGGTTATTTATGTATTATGTGCCGGAAGAAGCATGCCAATAAAGGTACTTTGGTAAAGATAAAAAACCTAATTTAATTAGGTGTTCCACAAACCTCATGTTTCGAATATACACATTTCAAACAAGTATCAGCCACTTGGAAGAAAGGGAACATCACACTGCACTGCAACCTGAGTTAGATTCCTGGCCAGGGCTAATACCAGTGGTCATATCTGAACCAGTTCTTGCCTGCCTATGCCCTTCACCACCCACACTAATAAATATGGTGAAGTATGGCTAACAATCCCCATGGCTGATAGGGCATGGGGAAACCTTCATCCAGCAATGGATTGAACAAAGGTGGTAAATTATGTTACATTTGACCAGAAGTGTCTGTGGACAAGCTTCCTTTCTCCTGAAATTTAAGATGTGTGGTTTAGCTTTAATAATGGTGTGTAAGCAATTTAAGTTTAGTATAATGTGGTGGTGGAGAGGTGGCACAGTGGTTAGCACACTGTGTTATGAACCCGAGGAAACCTCGGTTCAAATCTTAGCCACAGCTAATCAGTGACGAATTATATTTGAACCGCTCCTGGCTCACTTCATGCCTCGCCCCTTTAACAACCCAAACTGACCAGTGTGGTGAAGTATGGTCATACATTTCCCATGTCCGACATTGTGGGGAGGGCTTCACTAGCAGTGGATTGACATTGACAAAAAAAAAAAAATTCTTGGTTCTTTCGGTAAAGTCACGTAGAAGAGAAATAATAAAATAAAACATAATAAAATAATTCTCACGACGTTTCGGCCACAACGCAAGCAGCCGTCCTCAGGTGAAGAACAGGTCTGTCGGAAAGACAGCGTCTGAATGACAGACCTGTTCTTCACCTGAGGACGGCTGCTTGCGTTGTGGCCGAAACGTCATGAGAATTATTTTATTCTGTTTTATTTTTATTATTTTATTATTTCCCTTCTACGTGACTTTACCGAAAGAACCAAGAAGATGAATCCCTGCAGTCACGAAAGCTTTAAGTCGAAAAAATATATATTTTTCTTCTTCTCCATTGCATTGACAAAGCATGTAAATGTTAATACGTTAACATGACCAACCAACGGCATAGCTGCTAACCGTATTAACACCTATGCAGGTACTATTGCAAGAGATTTCTTTCAAAGCTGCCAATACGTGACGGTAAATAAGAGAGAGTAAGAGAGCGCAGTGACCGTGGCATTGCTGGAGATGCATTCCTTGTGGAACATGTGATGGCAGAAGAAGACCACGATGTCAGTAGCTCTGTTCAGATCTGTGGAGAGAGCGCAACAGCAATCGGCCAGCAGGCATCACGAACTGAAAAACAGGTTTCAACATGGAAATCTGATGGTGATTAGCACAGAGGGCCGTTAATGACCAATGACACAGAAGAATCTAATGATAATTGTACAAAGTAGTCTCGGTCTGTGTAAACGCAAATAAAAACAATGAAAATAACAAACTTTACTGAGAATTTTTATATATATATTAGCTTCTTAGTTCTTTCGGTAAAGTCACGTAGAAGGGAAGTAATAAAATAATAAAAATAAAACATAATAAAATAAAATAATTCTCACGACGTTTCGGCTACAACGCAAGCAGCCGTCTTCAGGTGAAGCCGTCTTCAGGTGAAGACGGCTGCTTGCGTTGTAGCCGAAACGTCGTGAGAATTATTTTATTTTATTATGTTTTATTTTTATTATTTTATTACTTCCCTTCTACGTGACTTTACCGAAAGAACTAAGAAGATGAATCCCTGCAGTCACGAAAGCTTTAAATCGAAATATATATTAGCGTTGAGTACAAATTAACTTATGACTTAAAATTGTAGTTCATGAATGATTAAAACATAAAACACTGGGATGGAATTCACAAATGCATACAAAATTGTATGTATACTGTTTTGTAAAGCTTCATTTAGGGCAGTGATACAAATCTGACGTTAAGTGCAATTACCTTCTGGCAAAATAGATGATTGGCAGACCTCACAAATATTTTCCTCTGTGAATACAATACACATGACAAGATGCAGATTATACTGATGAGAAGTGGATAACCCAACAACAACCTAAGCAGTGTACTAATCAATAACAATGTAATTCATAATAATACATGAATTATAGAAAATATGCAACATATTATGTAAAGTGTACCTGAGTGATAGAGAAATATATGGCAGTGTACCCACATATCATAATCTAATGAAACAACATAAATGCATTTGTAAATTCATTAAGTTATTGTGTCTGGTCTTACCCTCAACATAAATTGCACGTCGCTGAACTTTCTGCAGCCTCCTCATGAGAGCAACGCAATCGGCAACTAGGATCTTCTTACAACCTTCACGCAGTGAGATCTGATGGGGAGATGAACACTATGATTGCACTTTTTTTCTACTTAAAATTATACGAACAATTGGGTAAAATTATATTTTTGCGTGGGTATTTGTTAAATAAAGAATTATAATAAAACATTGCGGTTACAAAAAAAGCTAAATTGCTCAAATGTTAACTTCAACAGATTCCTGGAGACAATCGATTTCATTATTATGTTTCATTGTTCTTCAAAACGCCAAACTCCAAAGGGGATATCAGAGAGCTGCACCACCTTATCGAATAAACACATCTCAGGGCTAACATCAAGCGGTGACAACACGATGTGCTTTCTCTCAAGAATACAACTATTCCTACCCTATGGACAACCAAATTACAGTTCTGCTTCACCTCATATTTTGAAATGCAACCGTGCACCAAGCTATGTTCTCCAAGCACAAACGATCAATGGCAATCAGTGCCCTTTCTGTCCCTGTCTGTATCAAGGATCTTGGGTGGCTTGAATATTTGGCTGGAGAGGATACGTTCGGTATCCTTGATGTACAGCCGACAAAGATCCCCCATATAGCCTTAACAGACTGTAGGAGCAAGAACTGTTAGCGAGCACCTATGAAGGCCCGCACGGCACACGAGGGGGGTGGGTGGGTGGGCAGCACCATGCCCGGCCACCTTTGTCTCCCCAGTGGCGATGTTTACAGATGGCACCAGGTACTCATTTAAGGCCGAGTCGACCTAGGGGAGGCCCATGACCGATTCAGATAATCTTCACTGGTGTTGGCCATGAGAGGGAATTGAACTTGGGTGACTGGGGTTCGTAGCGCAGCGTAATAACCGCTACACTACCGCTCCTTACAGCTGAGACACGCGTGTTAGACATAACACGCGTGTGTTAGACATAACACACCTGGAGATTGTAGTCGTGTAGAATTTTCACAAGGGAGTCGCGCAGGTGTGGGATCTCCATTCCCTCCTTGATACGCCGGATAAGGATGATGGGATCAACGTGTGTTCCAATGTTGTTCAGCAAGCCCGTAACAAAAGCTTTATTTGTAAGGCGACACACAAACATATTTTGGTTTTTAAACAAAATAATGTCTTAATAGTAGCAGTTATTTCTAAAATATATCATGAAATGCATATAATGGAAAACACAAAATCCATGAAATGGTTACACAGAATGCATTTTACCGACAAATATATAAACTTCATAAAATATACACCGTTATTTGAATGGTGCTTCTGTCACTTGTATCGTTTCAGATTCTGTTAGATGTGTTTGTGCGCATAATTTATAGTCTATATGCCAACCAGGTTTATCTATAGAGTAGGTGATGAGGTCATCCCAGAGCTCTGGGTCATCCTGTTCCTTTGCAAACTCGATGGCTTTGTCCACGTCATTTAGCTCCTCTGTGATCATCCGCAAGGCCTGCTTGCTGTTCCCCATACGACCTGCAATGTGTAGGTATCACCGTGTTAGCGACAAAGCTACTGCAACACATTGTACATGAACAACACCAAAGAGTACGATTATAGATTGAATTTATTTTGTGCAGTGATGCGTGCATTAAAATGCAAACTGCAATAACTTGAAAAATCAGACTGCATTCGATGGGACTTACTAAGGAGAAAAACCGTCTCTTCAATAAAATGCCTCTGTTGACAGATTTCGAGAGCCTGAGAAAGTGACATACATTCATTCAGATGACAATAATTAATTTCAATTGGCACTTCAGGCTCCTGGTATACGACTTGTGCAATTGATACCCGGTGAACATTCATAAAGAAAAGTGGGATCTGTGTAAGATCACATTCTGGGAAATGCCGTGCCTTTAGCATTAAGCACAACTGCTACAGTCAACATGACCTCCATTTCAGGGTTTTTTTTGTGACACTTGGGTCAAACAAGCGGCTTTTCGTTGTCTACGCCACACAACATTCGAGCCATCATGGCACGCTCCACGCGGTCACAATAGCTTGCTTGCTTGCTTATCGTGATGAGGGCACATCGAAGGGTCACGCAACATTGTAAAACATTTCCAGCTTTCAAAAAACACTGCCATTTTCACAGGACCACCGACAGCATAGTTGTTTAACGCGGGAAAAGGGCATTCCAACCATACCTTTTGTAGCGGGCAGTGAATGCTGTTTCTCAGGAAGGGAAGCAGGTTCGGACGGTCGTACTCCGCATACAGCCCAATTTGCAACTCGTGATATTTGTCGCCCTTGTGTGGGTCCCACTGGAACAACTTGTGCAAGTACTGTAAGACCAAGATGACAAACGCCGGTGAATATGTGGAGGCGACGTGTCTATTACTTTGATTTGAAAATACAAAGAGAACACTGTGACCTAAACACCGAGTCCTGTGATTATATATTTAAAACCTGTTAACCCGGTGCAATGAGTAAGGGGAGGAAATCTTTGCTCTCTACTTCATTGCAACAGATGTATTTGATTTGCTTATCACTTGTGAAGAACAAAGTGTATTTTGTCATGGTGACAATTAAATGTATTTTGAAGATGCAAAAGGCAATCATGGATTTTATAAAGTGTGTGTTTTAATACTACTATATTTTAGACGTGAAAAAATTGGAATCTTTTAACATAATTGACTGCAAAAGACAAAGCATATACCCATGTTAACAATTCGCAGTAAAGAAATCATCTATGGTGCACATCATTTGATAATATTCATTTAAAGGGTGCTTTCAAGCATGTCCCTTTATATCTATAGTACTAGCTTTTTTGCCCGTCCAAAGACGGGTGTATATTGCAGTAAATCTTAAATATTAAATAGAAAAATTGTTCAGCTCATGATTATTAATGAGGGGGGGGAGTTGCACCATGTGGAGTGACGTCACCCGCTAATGGTTATTGAGGAGGGGTGCGGCATGTGGAGTGACGTCACCCCCTCATGGTTATTGGGGAGGGGTGCAGCATGTGGAGTGCGCGACCTTCTTGTGCGTGAGTGTAAATTTCCACGCGGGCATGAATATTAATAAAGGGGGGGGGCTTCTTTTGCAGTGACGTCACGCACGGATGTAGCACTGTGCAGCGTAGATACAAATTTTACCGTCACTTTCTGTAAAGAAACGTCATATTTGAAGCGACTTCGCTAAATAAGTTATTTAATTCAGCACGACCTTCCTCTGCGTTTGTATAAAAATCCACCCACTCATGAATATTAATGAGGGGGTGGGCCTCATGTGGAGTGACGTCACGCGCAGGACACACATTCTTGGCTCATTATATTCATATTTAAAATATTGCATTTTGAAAAAATATGCTTTTTTACTAATTGCAGCTTTGAAAGTAAGCAGACTTAATGCATGTTGCCATTTGAAAATTCTATTTCTCTATGACTTTGTATGAGGCGGGGTGATTAGCACAATGTGCTACAAAAACCCAGCCACCTGAATTTGATTTCAGACCACGGATCACATCTTGTGGGAAGTGATATCCCAACCAGTTTTAGGCCTCCCCCTTCAGGAACTCACATTGATCAGCTTGGTTAAATATGGCTAACCAACACCTCATGGACCAACATGGTGCGAGGCCTTCATATAGCGGTGGATTGACAAAGGGGGCTGTAATAGTACATAAATGATCACCCTCTTTGATCCTATCTACGTGACTTTACCGAAAGACCCAAAGAATATGAATTCCTGCAGTCACGAAAGCTTTAAGTCAAAATCACCCTCTTGTTTATGTATATCGTGGTTATACCCCTAACGTGATAATAAACGTACCACATGTTGCAGCTCTGGCCGATCCTTCAACTCCGTCACTACTTGCGTGATCTGCAATGCAAGTACACATTTCATAGGTATGATGATTTTTATTGCTCAGGCAAAACGTCAAATCAATAACAACCTTATATAAACAATTAAGTCATCATGATAAAAAAAAAAAACTCACGGGGATTTTGTCTTCATTGTCCAGAAGTAACTTTGCAGCTCTCTACACAAAATAAATTAAAACATTCATTTGAACAAACACATTCTTACATTTAAAGAATAATGAAGCTTTGTTACATTTATTATTATTATTGTTTGCCCAGGAAAGCGCGGGTCTCAAGACGTTTTTTTTAGGAGGATCCTGCCACATTTTCGCAGTAGGGGGAGATGTCGCTATGTGTAATCCCAATTGAGAAATGTTCAGGTATTTTTTATAGCATTGGGATATTTGGCCAAGACAAGTTATGTTGTTTCAGCTGTGGGAAGAAACCAGAGAATCCAGAGAAAACCCACACAGAATAGAGGGAAAGAATATGCGAGCACCACACGGAATGGTTCAGGAGTTGGGAATTGAAACCAGGACCTCTTTACTGTGAGGCACAAGTGTTACCACTCTTCGAATCTGCCACGAACATTTCTAATATAATAAGCCAAGAATGTGTGTGTCCCGCGCATGATGTCACTCCACATGTGCCGCCCCCTCATTAAAAATCAAGAGCTGAACAATTTTTCTATTTAATATTTCAGATTTACTGCAATATAAACGTCCTTGGACGGGCAAACAAGCTAGTCTTATATATTATCCCTTTACGTGGCACACATTATATGTTTGTTTTTGTCAATGTACTTTTATGTGTGCCAATTGATGATGGTGTCACATCGTAGAGGCAACCTCATGTCCTCAGCATGCTCCAATATTCCTGCTAGAGTGCCCTATGTGAGCTGTAATGGGAACTCCATTGGTGTTGATCTAATAAACACATCAAAATATATATCCAGGCTGCCTGGACAATATAAATCAAAGTAGGGATTGCTTCCCACAAACCTCCTTGTCAAAGTCCATGAGCAAAGGTATCTTGTCTTGTATAGCAGAGAAGAGGTTGTGCTTGTGAATCAGCTCGAACACATCTTCGTGCTTGAGGCGCAGGTAAATCGCGAGAGCCTTGTCATAGCGCTGGTCATACGTATAGCTAGGACAAAAACAATCTCAGTCACACTATCGTAAAAGAAAACGTGATCTTTTACATGTGTTCACTGGCCTAGCCCAAGTGTTGCTATTTGCCAAAGTGAGATTTAGCTAATATGTAGGTAGATATATTCTTTGGGTCTTTCAGTAAAGCCCATGAGCAAAGGCATTTTATTTTTTTCTATCTACGTGGCTTTACCGAAAGATCCAAAGAATATGAATTCCTGCAGTCACGAAACCTTTAAGTCAAGATGTAGGTAGATCAAGAGGTTTTTTTGGGTTAGATCGCGTAAATATATAAATGTGTCATTAAAACCCGCCACCACCCAACACAGGCAACTAGTAAGGATTGTCACGTAAACAGAACATGCCAATTCGTCACTAGTACAGCACACTGGTGTGTTGGAGAGCCAAGCCACAACATTTACAATCAGATTGGTCAAAAACTAAACTGAACAAAATGTCCAATCTGCCTCTTAAATGTAAAATTGTGTTATAAATCTTACCGTACCTATTTTACTATATTATCACAAAAGTAAAACATGATGAATTAATTTTTTTAAATGTCACAAACATGTCTGTATTTTCCACTCTGAAAGCATCTAAATAGGATCAGTGCTTGAAGCTCAGACTCACAGCTCAGCCAGCGTTTTGAGCAGGACAGGGTTGTTGGGGTCACGGTTCAGCTTGTCAATGACCGTCTTCACAATGGCCAGGTTATTATAGAGGTTTCCAGGCCACTCACGAATGAGGGATGCAAATCCCTGGTGAAACACAGAGGGGAAAAAATATATCTGTTAAGCACGTACTTTGATCACTCCAAATCACACTGCCATATTTCTGAATTTATGTACCATTCCGAATGAAGTAAACATACAAATGTGATATTATATTAATAAATAACACTGCCCTATGTTTCGGGCAATGCATGTTTTCACAGGTCAGTGCAAAAGAGGCTGCATGCTCACCTCTATATCCGAGTAAAGGAACTCATTTAGGATCATCTCATAGATGGCAGGTCTCAAGCGCAGATCACCCCGTGGCAAATACCGACTGATGGCCTTCACAAGCACAAGTAAAGGCATATGTCAGGAATGATTGTACAAGTGAATAATACATCACCACACTTCACAAATCAAGTCTCTTCCGTAATATATAAATTCCATCAATACTTAAAATAAGCAATAAGTGTTTACAAAACCTCATTTCACAGTTGTTACATCCAAATCTAATACTACCCAACCTAACCATTTCACTTAAGAGCACCATCCGCACGTGTTGCGTGAAAATGAGGTTGTGATGTGAACCTCAGGCTTGCATCCAGACCCCACTCAAACTGGATGGGAAGCCACCGAGTGTGACCCTCCACAAGCCCCTGGAAACACTCTCATTTTCAGAACTGCTATGGTGTGTACAAGAATGAGCGGCAGGTGTGGGGGCTATTGATTTTTTGAAGCAGGTTTTTTTAGCCTTGATACTTTTCTCCAAATCTGCCCCTGAGATGACTTGCAATTCCAATAACCCACAATGCTATGTTGGGGTTTAAGGCAGGTGATTCACCAGTCAGCTTTAACCTATGCGGGGTCAACAGTGCCCAATCATTGAGACCAGGTGAAATTGCACAGAAGTGTCAGATGTTCCCAATGCCACTCGTACCTTGAGCTGCCCAACCTTCTTAAACTTGTACACTTCATCCTCCCACAGCTCCATATTTTTTCCCAGTACCTTCTGACAGATCCTGGGATAAAACACATTTATTTCGTTTTTTTGACCAAATAACCAAAAGATAGATTTACATTTGTTTATTTAGCAAATTGAGATTGGAAGATATTTTTATCAATTAAACCTAAGTGCAAATGATAAACAAGAATGAGAAAATGATAAGCTTACTTACAAGACACAAAGCAAAGCACAACATATCACCATACTACATACGTGAACTTTACAGTAAGGTATGCAATCTGAGTGTAGAAACATGAATACCACAATCTTAAAAATCAACAATGGTAATCAGCATAAACCCTTCATACTGTGCGTGCAAAAGTAAACATTAAAAGCCTCCTTCCACATACACATTTCACACCAATAAATTACAAATTCTTCAGAGCTATGATGATTCAAGACAAGCCCTCCCAAGGCCCCCGCAGAACAATCTTTACATTTGAGGTATGTGTCGAGTTATCTGTGCTACAAATGTACAAAACGAGGTGACAGGGTGGCTCAGGGGACGAATACCACGTTGTACTACTGAGATGGCACCGCCACAGGGAACCTAGGTTTGAAACTGGGCAGCCACCTTTGATAAAACTGGGTTTTTCCAAGTGATCACAAAAGACTGCGATACATCATTACATTTAATTTTCACTTTAAACTTGCTTATTCCATTTATGAGAATTGAACGTTAGCCGATTGCCATGTGATACGCTTTATTAGGCATGTAACAAACAAGTTAAACCCATCGTGTTGACAAAGAGACCTGTTGAAAGGATATGGGAAGCAATTTTTTGATACATTCTCCTAATATCTACACTGACGATTGCGAAAAAGTGATTCAATTTGTGTGGAGAAACTTGATATGATAGCTGTATTTATAAATGTAATGCATTACCATTCCATGTGAATCAGACACCTTATTTAAAAGATTATGATCACATTTTACATTTACTTTTAATACATTACTATAATTATGCAAATACATTTTGAGTACTGGTTTAAAAATGTTATTTAATTCGCCACCCAAAATATGCTACATTTAAAATATATATATTAAACTATGAACCCCAGCAGTCACTAAATATAAATATGTTCAACGTCGAAATCGAAAGCGGTTGCCATAAAATTATATAGGCTTAACATTTATAAAAATACTGAAAATAAAATGTATAAAAAAAATAGAATGTTTTTTAACGTAACACTATTTATGTTTATAATTTTCCCACAACACGTGTGGTCGGTGCTCTGAAATTAAACGGTCAGGTTAGTTCATCATCACTCTGCGCTCACCTTCCGGCTGTGTCACTTTCACCTGTTGTCAAGAGATGAGAAATGTAGGCACGGCCAATGTCCTAAAACAAACCGGTAAAATAATCAATAAAGTCGACAAATCAGACAGAGAACAACGGAGTAATGACATATACAAGCCAGACTTTTATCGAAAAAAGTGCAGAAATTCACATGCATTTACAATTTCTCATACAACCTGCTCATGCCATTTCAAGTTTCATTTGTAAAATTACTGTTTTTAATACCAGACATTCATTGCTGACGACTTATCAGAAGTCAGGTGAACTACATACAGGCATTGAGTGAAGTTCAAGATTAGAAGTGAAACAAACTGCTTCTGATATGAAGAAATAGAAAAGAATAGTTGAACATACCAAAACGTTGTGTCTCTTAAGACTCTTCTGACTGACTTCTGCTGCAAGCAGAGCTTCCTGAAATCGAAAATAAAACGGTCTTGAATCAAGCAAGAGTTAACAAAGCATTTTCACGACCAGAGCATCGCCACATCATGTGCTCGTGTTAAATTTTTACACGGAAACAATTGCTCACAGCACACATTTGTATGGGCATCACGAATGAAATGCAGCCATCGTGCAACACACCATGGTTCGCATATATCTAGATACCCTATGTGCAAATGCAGCAGCAAATCACCCTTGGTCAATCCACTTCTGAATGGATGCTTCCTAATGCCATTAGGGTCATTTGACCATATTTTACCATGCTGATCAGTGTGGGTTGTCGAAGGTGGGGGGAGCAGTCATTGGAGAGATAGAAGTATAGGACAACAATTTATTTTCTGCACTGTCCTCCTCTGCCGATCATTTCACACCGAAGCTTATAACAAGATGCTGTGCATGGCAAGTTACAATTTCAATAATTTCCCAGGCTCAACTTTGCTTAGCTTTCAAGATATGATGAGATTGGGGCACAATCCTGCTGATTTTGTAATTGGCTTACAACTTATCACCCCTGGGCCTATTCCAAGAGAATAGTCCCTACATAGAATGTATGTTTGCAAAACACATGGTTACCTTGATCTAAAATCTACCCCTTCATGATTCATTTATGCAGCTGAATTGCTGGTCCATGCACAAGGTGCTCAGAGAAGTGGTACACACTGGGAGCTGTGAATGACTGCTCTGGCACTAATAATCAGCTAACCAGTTCTTATTCAACATCAGTCATGATCTGTCCACAGTTGGATGAAAGCCTCCCCAAGTTGTCATCATCCCTCACTGTCCTGTGGTGTTACAACCCATCTACCTCTTGCACACAAGCCGATTTCATGGCTACTCCACCGTTATTCTTGACCACCTGCCATCATCCCCTTTTAGCGACGTGTCCTGCCCAAGCCCACTTTTCTTAACAGTCAATATGTTTTGTCGAACATGTGTGTGTGTGTGTTTTGTAACCCATTTGTTCGTCTTCCTGTCTCTCGGTGTAATTTCAAGTATACACGGCTCTACGCTTCTTTGCACACATTTCGGTTTTTGTTCCATTTTCTTTGTCCACGTCCATGCTTCTGGTCAATGTCATTGCAGGTAGCACACTGTTTAATAATAATGTTCTGCTTTGGTAAATGTTCTTTGCATGATTAATTTCAGTTTTCCAAAATTACTCCAACCTCCTCTTGTTTAGCGCAGCATGTCTCATTGTGTGTATACCTAGGTCAGTGATGTAAGGCAGACCAGGATGAAAATAATGAAATAATCTCCATTTATCAGGATGCTTTTATTCAATTATCCATTAAGTTTATGTAGAGTCTATTATTTAGTTTCTTACCCTTTCTTTATTTGTTTGCTGGAGCCTTCCTATAAGTCACTTGTTATTCCTTAAATGTCCAATTGAATAGGGATGATGATTACTTTAATACCAGGAGACACATTTATGTGCCACAAGGGGAGTTGTGCTAAAATTTTACCAAAAGCAAAATTATTAATAAAAATGTATACAAGAATTTTTTTTATTCCAAAACATTTTCCTAAAATAGCACTGTTCGTTTACAACACACGCAGCCATAAACCTGATATTGCTTTGTCTCCAGGAGCCAGGCAATGTGGTCATCTTGGTCTCTCTCCTTTGCCACCACCACATCCCGTGGGCTCACAATGTAATACATCAACTCCTCCGTAGGGTAAGCTAAAAGACACAGAAAAGGACATTTCAGCCTAATACACATTCTTCCTCGCAGCCCTTAAGTATGTGGGCAATTGGCATTTATTGTTGACCGCACTAGAATGCTCATGGCTATAGTGGGGTTAAGTGCTCTGTGTGTGCATCCAACCCTAACCATAATGTGTCATACATATTCCAAAAGGTCATTTAGAATACCACTTTCATTCCTGCCAACCGCAATGCACCGATTAAATTTAAATTGATTCTTATACTCATGATATGTGAATTGAATAGTGTATAAAATATCACTAAAATAAATGCAAATTGCATGCAACTGTCACATTTCCACAATTAAGTGACACAATTGTATGACAGAAAAATTATAAAAACAATAGAAAAGGTGAAAAAAAGGAGTCAAAAAAACTATTCTTTAAATTTATCGTGACCTCACATCATAACACTTTATAAAAAAAATAAGGATCATCCCATCACCTCGGTAACAAAATCCTCCTCATTGCCTCGGTGTTCCCACAATTGCAAAAATAAAGTTTCCCTCACCTAGGTGATAGTCACAGCAGCGGTATTGATGGTACCCACGAATGGAGAGGGCATCACAAGAGGTCTCCTCGTACGAGTCCTCCTGATGCTGCAGAATGCGCAGCTGTGGTCGGTACGCATTTTTGGTACTTTCCTATGGAGTGGCTCACAATAAGATATCAAACAAGCAACAGACAAGGTCAATTCTAATTGTATCAGGGGTGAAGAACCTCTTTCTGACCAACGGCCAAACATGACTTTAAAATTCTGTTTGTAGGCCACAAATAAACATACACCTTACTCATTTCTGCAACTACAAGAGGCGATTGCAGTGATAGACATTACCGAGGGATCTGATATGCAAAAACAGTTTTGCCAGGTCAAAGGTACCTATTTAGTATGGCAAAGATGCTTACAGTGACATATAAATATTGTTTGGGGGTCATTTCTAAATGGCCACAGCACACAATTAAGTGGTGGGCCATATTTGGCCCACAGGTCATAGGTTACCAACCACTGATTTTTACCAATGTTGTTCATTTATAATCTTTGGGAGTATATTAAAAGAGTTACATGGCTACCTGACAATTCTTACGGTAAAATGTAACAGAAATACAAACCATAACATATTTGCTTGAAAAGCCTGAAAAAAAAGACCGCTTTGGAACCTGAGGCTTGAGAGATATGCTACGGATCTATTGTTGCTTCATCGGAAAGTTTGCATTTCCACGAGCAACCTCTTGGAGGCAGTCTTACACTAATTCTACCGATTAAAGGATGGGTGTACATTAATTACACAATTCCTGCTTAATGACTGTCTTCAGTAGATATATTAGGGTGATAAAGCTGATTCAGAAACTAACCATAATTCAAGCCTCAGCTTTTATGGCAGTTGGTGGCTTGCAGTTTACTTACATCAAGCATGTAGGACAGGACAACCAGCTGGTTTCCCAGGGGTGCGATGCCACTCACAAAGAAGTCTACTTGGAATGCTGAAACTAAACAAAATATTTGATAAATATTAATGCAAAACACTGTATATATTTTTGAATGCCATTACTATTCAGCTTATGCTACTGATACAATAAACAAGACCACAAGCTACAGGACAAACTTCAGCATGGGTGATTGAAAACAAGGTCAATGGAGCATGCCCACCGAATATAACCTTCTTCTGTGTAAAATGATTTGAATGCTTAGGTGGTGCCATGTGAATTCAATCCATTGGAAACACCTGCCATTTGGTCCATGTACAATTAACAAAATAAATAAACCAATAGGCATTCCTCATATCTGCCCCTTCACATACCATAAAAATCATCACATCCCATTAGCCACACATCCTTCTGGTAGTGCATGAATTCATATGCAACTGTGGACTGGTTTCGACATTCAATGTCAGGATTGCTTGAACTAATGCTGATGAACTACATGTTAAATTATGTTATAGTATTATTGTCCAACATATTTTACTTACAGCATTAATTTAACATTCCACAAAATTATTTGTTGAAAAAACCCACAATAAAAAAGCATTTGAATATCTGCACAACTACTGTGCAATATGCTGCATAATCAACGGTGTTATGTGTATGACAAAGTACTCAAATTACCTATTTCCACATAGCGGCGTGGGAGGTCTCGGTTTTCTGCTGCAACCCTCTCTTTAACCACACATATCTACACGCACACACAAGGAAACATTTGCGGCATCCACGTGAATTGCTGCATTATTCCATTGCTAAAAACGAAGTTATAACAACAGTGTATTCTGGGAGAAAAAAAACAGGGGGGGAAAATAATAAATCAGACCTTTTAACCCATGATCATTATTCTGAGCCAATGTATCATCTAATTATAACCAACCTAATGAAGAATTTGTTCATATCGACAGATAAAATGTAACCACCTATGACAAAATGACCCTGAATGTACCTGATGTCATCAGATCATGAAAGATAATCATGTTTGAGACTGAATAGTGCTTAGAAAGGTGATCACCATACAAAATCAAGGTGGACAGCGGTGGCTGCGTGGTTATCTGCCAATTATCAGAAGGAAGTGTAGCAAAATCCATTGCTGCACTTCTGTCCTACACCGATCTATGCTCCTTGCCTTCAACAACTCGCACTGGCCAGCATAGTGACGTACGCTCAAATAACCCCCCCACAAACTACGCAGCGTGGGGAAGCTCTCATTCAGCAGTGGATTCATAAATAGGCTACACATGTACAAAATCCAACTTGATTTTACGTACATTTTGTTCATAGAATGTTCTTCATACTCAAACTATGTACAGAATCATCTATTTACAGGATAAGAAAAAAAATGTGTTTAGCAATAGCCAGAGTCTAAATAACAAATAATTTGTTCAGTTATATGACCATTTGCTGAAATGTAGGCGACGGTGGACAAAAGAAACCCAAGCCATGTTGAGCACCTTCACAGTGTCTGCCCAGCCGATAAAGAGTGTGAGGTCATCCTTCCAGCACAGGCTGCAGGGGTAGATCTCAGGCCGCAGGCTGGTATTGTCTCGCGACACCGTCGTGATGCGTTGCTTAAGGTTCATGTCGTACATCTTGACACCCTGCAAAAACCACATGCCAGTGCACTAGTTCAACTCGTAATTTGCATACTACTTCATGATAATGTGAAATTTTGGATTCTAAAAACCACACAGCATCTTCTTCTTGGTTCTTTCGGTAAAGTCACGTAGAATGGAAATAATAAAATAGTAAAAATAAAACATAATAAAATAATATAATTCTCACGACGTTTCGGCCACAACGCAAGCAGCCGTCCTCAGGTGTAGAACAGGTCTGTCGAGAAGACGCAAGCAGCCTGAGGATGGCTGCTTGCGTTGTGGCCGAAATGTCGTGAGAATTATATTATTCTATTATGTTGAATTTTTATTATTTTATTATTTCCATTCTACGTGACTTTACAGAAAGAACCAAAGCTTTAAATCCACACAGCATCTGTGATGCACATGCACGCAGTACATCACAAAGATGGTTTATTGAATTGCAAATGCCAACGTGTGCCTTGATCTAATAATTTTTATACTAATTTGGGGATATGATTCTGTAATTTTTCGTAAGCACCAATAATATAAACAAAGTTTCCTGATCACACACTAAATTTACAAATGTGAGGTCTGCTGCATCTGCAAGCTTTTTCTGTGACATAAAAAAAAATCCTATTGGTATATAGCAATGAACTGCACTTTCGTAATGGTTCAATTCACTTGCCTTGCTATTCGCCCAAGCAATAAGATTGGCTCTCCACTTGATGGTGGTGATGATTCCTTCGCCCTGATGTAGCACTGTTAATTTTTGCTTTCCAAGCCATCCACGCTCACACAGATAAAGCTGTAGATAAGTGCGAAACAAACAAGCATGTAGTGTCATACATATTGAATACATATCATATTCAACCAAACGTGTTTTTTTCTGGAATCCAAACTGCAAACCAAGAGCAAAAAAAAGCTGTGTTCTGGCCAAACAAAATGGTTCAACACATAAACAGTCTCACATACAATACATTATATTATTTTACGAGTCATACGGATACAAAACAATCGCACAGCCCACACATGCACGTACCCATTAACAATGCTTCAAAGACATTAACCCACACAAGTATTGATATTAGCCTAGTTGTGAAATAAACATGACCTTTTTTTCAATAACTTTTTTCTATAAAACAAGTTTCCCCCAATTACAGTTACAAGAGTCCTCAAGCATGATTACAAGTGTTCTCTTTTGTCATTACTGTCCAATACTCTCTGCATCAAACATCTTCAATCGTTTGAGCATTACACTTAAAGAGAAAGAATTTATAAAATTAACATTTTAAATAACTATATATGGATTTCAATGAACTGAAAGAAAATCAAGAATGCCCAATAGCTTGTTTGAACAGTTTTATCATATTATTTGAAATGTGAAAACAAATACAATCACGCAAGGGCACACTTAAAAGCCCCTATCTGCAGAAAACTCAATACTAATGCACCGCAGGTGTCAGTGTTACTGCATGTTCGATCACATGATGTGCATTTAAGAGACACTGACGCCTCATCTCCACCCATTAATGACCCGTATTTGCACTGTTATGACACTTGTGTCTCAACTCAACTTTTAACAAAAACATCACATGCCATCAAAACCAAATTCACTCCATTCTGCAAGAAGAGATAAATAATATGGCATATTACATTTTAGCAAAGTGCTATAGTTTTTTTTCTGCTGACACTCTTAATCCCTTTGAAATATTTATCAGGCCTTTGCAATGAACACAAATGTGCATGTCTTACTAAATAGGAAATTACCCTATAAATTAATTTTACAATTAACTCTTCTCACAATCCTGTACTGAGAGCACTAACAGTAGTCTGCAATTTTACAGAATAAAATGTCAAGATCATATGTATTGAGTATTTTTTTTATATTCTCATGGATTTTTAAAAAAATCTGACAAAATTATTACAATAATAGGAGCACTAAATTAAAAGTTTCGAGCACTTTACTATGAACCGTGTCAATCTTCTGTATTCGTTACTTTCACCTCTTCGGTGTCGCTATTATAAGACCTTCAAACTTCTTCCGCCATTCGAACTCAATTATATGTTAATTCGTTACATGGTGTAGTGTACTTCACAGAGCCACACACTTGAACTTGGAGGCAACACGTTTATTACACAGCCCCAACAGGGCTACTACATAAACGTACACAAGTTAACTAGACCCCGACGGGGTAACTACCTACCCGGGTCATTCAGTAACACTCTGACTGACCCACGATGCCGAGCAAAGACCGAAGATCGAGGAGGTGTAGCATGGTGGGTTGATTCCAGAAGACAGACCATGAGTGCTCCCAAGACTTCCCTTTTATGCTCCCGAGCGTGGCCTCGCTCCGCCTTCGGCCAAAGAAGGTTCTCGACCGAACATCACGTATCCCTCAAGCCACCCTTCGGGCCCCCCCACTACCCTGTCCAGATCACATGCCCTCTCGGGTTCACCCAGACTGTCACGTCCTCACTTGCACTTCCCTCTGACCATCGCCAGAACAATGCCCCCTAGGGCCCGCTTCCATGGCATACCCACTCCGGTGCCAGAGAAAAGCTCAAGACTCACAATTCTAGTCTTGTGACAGCAGCTGGCGCTAAACGCCAGAGTGACTCCATTTACGTCACTACACACGGAAAATCTCGTTTAGCCAGTTACCCAGCTAGCTTTGGTGGCAATGGGCGATAGCCAACAACAGTTTTTCTTGGGGTGGAGAGGTACCCAGATAGGAGCCAGCCAGGAAGATTACTTTTTGATGTTAGTCAGATTAAAAACATTATATATACGAGTACCGTAGTGGTGGCTATTACGCTTATTATTATCACCCTGCACGACTCTTTATAATGTTAAGATTTGTTCAGAACTTTTGTAGGTAAAATGAAACCACAATAAAAAAAACGTAAAATCAGTGTGTTGAAATTCCAAAGGGGTCTCGATAAAATCTATTTAAGGCTACATTGCCACTTTTTGATTATCTACTGGATTCTTTTAGGACGTTGTAGGGCTTCATGCAGTCAAAACATGTCAGTTACCTTGTCACTTCCTGTAATGTATTGCCTGGATTGAATCTTTCCAAATTCTGGGTGTAAAGCCACCGCCTGAAATACAAAACCAGCCACTTTACGTTACTCTCCTCAATACACCAGAACCATGGGTCCCACATGTCACACAGTTCAGATAATAAATTAAGTATTAAATGATATTCAGTTGCATTTCAACACTAGATATATAATATTCAATGCATTTCAAGCACAAAAATAAACACAGTTAACATTGTTTAACGATTATATAACATATTTATTAATCTCAATACATCGTAAAGTGAGCAACATGATGGATAAGACAACAGGCATTTAGTGTCGTAGTATATTACAAATGTACTTGCTTTAATAGGCGAATCAAAATTGCAGTCTGTGTTGGCCTCACTGCTGTAAAGACCATGGATGAATACCTGAAAAGATGAACGCCAACATGGTAAATACATTTCAGTGCAATTAACTTGTTGGCAATGGCGGAGCCAAATGCATTATACATCGGTATACATATATTTATAGAACACGAATTGCTCTTTCAGCATGGAGGCAATAATTAAATGTAAATGAAATCTATTTGCAGGGTGTTTTACTTTTGGTAAAAGGTTCAATCAATTGTAATGCCTTGCTTGGCATCTTGGGACCTCACATGCAAAGGGCAACCATTCAGAGTTTGCAGAAATATGATGGAGAAACAGCCTAGATTTTTGGCAGCCTCAGAAAAGTCAAGTATTTACCTAATATGCAATAGCTATATACCACTAATCATGCCACAAGCACCAACGTGTCTTTGGAAATACTCCTTTGCCATTGTTGTTGAATCATAACTTTGTCCGGGATATACAGCTATAACTAATCTGAGAAGTGACGCAGGTGCGGAAATGTGCCATTTTCATGGAGGTCAATGCATCAAAGAATTGAGATTTGGCTAAGCTGACCTTGTCCTTCCATAGAACCTGCCACTTCACTCACCACTAGCTACATCTTTCTCATTCCCAGGAAAAATAAACGCCTTTACATCAAACCAAATGAAACGCACAAACCAGACCCCAACAGTAGCACTTCAAGCAAGCAACATTATATGAATCAGGTAAGAGGATCAGAGGTGCACTTACTCAAAGAAAGCTAGTGCTTGACTTCAAAATGTGAACTATAGCAAATAATTGGAATTTCCTTCTTTACAACTGGAAACCATCCATCAGTCATGTTCTCTGATTATACAGCAGCCACAACACTTTTGAGGTACATTGCGCTCGCCTGACTTCAATTGACATGTACACATTAGCTGCAATTTATTCCCAAGACTTGCAGAAAGACTAACTGTTTCTGCAATTTGCAGCAATGCTTAGTACTGTTGTATTCAACAAGAGGATAAGGCACACAAACCATTACAAAGACATGACATTTTGTGTGACCTTTTTTAATTGTGGTGCCTAGGTTGGTAATTACAAATTTCGATGAACGGGGTGAAATACAGGCAAGAAACATAAAATACCTTTCCCTCATCAGAGCAGCTGGCGATATATTCTCCATCCATATCCAAGCTGATTTGATTCACAGTCACTGTGTGCTGGCCAGAAAATAGTACTTATTAAGTAGCAACACCAAAAGGCATTCAAGCAAGTGTGCTTCTAAATCTGTGTGTTAACATTGTTTGAAAAGGGTGTCTACACATATTGTGAAACTGTGCACGAAACATGGAGCTCACATAATTTGTGTTAACATGTGCAAAATATACATTGTACAACTAAATAACATGATACATTTCATTCACATTTCTTTTAGAAATACATCCCAATATATACTTATGGAAAATTATATAAAATGTTCGATTTTAAAAAATTATTTAAGATTAAAATATATGGAATATGTACATACCATGCGGCACTGCAAAATACTTCAAAATGTAATCTATTACATGTGACAATAGACTGTGGTGTCAAGATATAAACGATACTTACAGATGAAAACTCTCTGATTTTGTTGCCATCGACATCCAAAATAAACACTTTGCCAAAATGGGTTCCCAACGCCACGAACTGAAAGTGAATTTATTCACCGTTACAAAACTGAAGCTGCCAACATGCACAAAATATTGTCTTGTTACGAACAAAGAGGTCATGCTAACATATTAAGCAAATAAATATACACCTATCTATAATTCATTTGTTTGGCATTATTCATCTATAAAGTCCAAATTAGTAAAATGGAAAAACACACATATCACAAGACTGTATATACAAGGTTAAATCCAGTAACATATGAAATATATTTTTTATTAAACCCATTACTTTAAACCAGTGCAACTTTACGCTGGAAGGACTTGTGTTTTATATTGCAATATACAGCTGTGTTGATTTCTGACTGTGGACACAGCAGAATATAGGCATCAGTAATAAAAAGAGGGCATTCTGGGTTTGAATTATTTTAGTAATGAGACTATACATGTCAGATGCTTATAAATACAACACAACCGAAAGATTTGTAAATAAAAGCCAAAAAAAATTACAAAATGCACCACAAAGAGACGTCATTAAAAATTCAGTGTGGCGGAGAGGCGCCATTTTTTATGATTACTGTTCCCCAGGAAGGCGGCGGCCCTTTCGCTCCCTCCTCACTCTCGGTGGACAGAAAATCAATACTGTTTAATAAAACACGGGGCCGCTCCACCGAGGCCTGATGCCTGGCCTGGCCCACTGCGCCGCGCCACTGCTTTCGCTCGCCTCAACGCTCCGCTCGGCACCGCGATTGCTGGCGCATAGCGTAAATATATAAGTAAACAAGTAAACAGATACATGGAAAGATAGACAGGCACACGGAACAAAATTATGAGAGAAAGCGATACACAATAAATGTAGATAATTCGATACATGTATATGGTCTCAAGGGTGCCACAATTACATGGCTTTTCAACTGATAAATATAAAATGTATATTATTTCAATGAGAATTGTATACATTGCATTATACGTAACATTATTTTGCTGGGAATACTGGACATATAATTGATGCATAAGGGGCCATAATTAAGTCATAAGACTGCAATGTTATAACGTAGCACTGACCTAATTTTAAAATGATTTTGAAGCCGCATTTAAATGTGCTAACCAATAACATTTATATGACAATAATATAATCTATGAATATAAAATACTGCAGTATTTAAAAACATCTAAGTAATGGGTTAAGTTGTACTTACTTTTAATACATCACTCTCAAATATATTCTTTACTTCCTTATGCAGAAAATGTATGTCAACCTCAAAGTATAAATTATTTTCATATTTCTTCAGCTATAATTTGGATTTCAAAATATGTATTTATATATATACTATTTACACAAATTGCTTTCTACCAATAATGAATTCCCAGTGCACACATGAGAAGAGGCATTCGCGCTCAGACACGCGCGCTCATTCAGCACTCTACCTTGTCGTGCACCGCCATGCAGCTGGCTGCGTCATGCTTCAAAATATCGGTCACCTCGTTCCCCAAGCGTTCATACTTCAGTTTGGGCTCCTCCAGCTCCTCCTGGAAAACAAAAAGCACGGTACAGGTACAGGTACAGTACTTTTGTCAATACACTGCTGGACGAGGGCCTCCTCATGCAGTTCGGGTTGTGTAGAGTTATATGATCATATTTTACCATGAAGGTCAACATGGGTTGGTGAAGGCCAGGGGCATAGATGTCAGGAGAATAAGATGACAAGAAAACACATTTTACTACACCGTACTTTTCTGACAAAAAAGCCCCACGACAGCCAACAACACACTCTTTGGTTCTTTCGGTAAAGTCACGTAGGTATAAAATAAAATAAATAGTGATTTAATTTATTTTATTTTTTACCTACGTGACTTTACCGAAAGAACCAAAGAGTATGGATCCCTGCAGTCACGAAAACTTCAAATCTAGCCAACAACACCTATATTATAATTGGTTGTGGCCGATCAAAGCCCTGTTCCCACCCAAATCCTCCTTAGCTTGAGGATCTGATGAGATCAAGTGCATTTTGGGTGATTTAACATGAGAAGTGAACACATTTCCAAAAAAACTGAATATGCATACTTCTCATTTCTAGTGATTGTATAAACCACATCAGCAAGACCTATTGTCTGCACTGTGGCCTGCAGCTCTAGAAGCATTTCTCCAGTGACATACTTTCTCTTTGCTCCTGTTAAAAGTAATTTTCCACGTGAAGCTTTCTCAAAATAATGTCTACTTCTCATGGGGAGCACATACAATATGCTACATAGTGACTATACAGCTAAAACCATTGTTAGTCCTTTTGTGCATATAGTCCAACAGATCTCGTGCTCACGAATAGATTTGCATAAACCAAAATGTGTTTTTCTGTACAAGTTTACTTTGGGCATTAGGGTGCATGACAGAATGCCAAATTATAGTCTTCAAAAGTGAAATTAATCTGACTCTTTGCAAAATATTGCACTTTCCTATTTTTTTCAGAACGACATAGCATTTAAAAATGAGTGTTGCTGCGTTGGATTATTAAGCAGTCAATTACAAGGATGATCTGCAATTCAGAAAATGTGCACAATTAAAACTCAAGTTAAATGTTTGTTACAAAACAAAGACTACTTTTAATGTTAGAAAGTTCTACTAAATAAAAATATAGAATAAAACCTAATGGTAAAGCATCAGAAAGACAAGCACCTTACTATCTTTATTCCCAGAGCAACTGTTATTTTGCAACCATTGCCAAGACCTGTAATCTGTGGTCAAGTCACTGTATGATCCCATCACCAGAGAACACTCTTACTGCTGTCCACGGTGCTAAACTCTCATCCTAGAGCTTTAGAGAATGACAGATAAAATTACAGTATACACTGCAATGAAAAAACACCTAAAAAACATACTGAAGAAAATTACACCAACAATGAAAGCACTATTTTAAGTTAAATGAATTCGGTTGGTAAATAATACGCGAGACCATTGAGGTTATGTTTGGTAGATTTATTAAGCTTATACTGCTGGCAAGCTCTTCTGGGCTGGCACAAGCTGTTAACTGATCACATTTATCTTGCACTCTCATTGACTGCTGCACCTTGGCTTGAAAGCAATCTTTTCTCATCCCTCTAGATTGCATTAAGTGCAGTCACAGATTTGACAAAATTGGTGTCATGTTCAGCTTTTCCTGCTCTTGACCCCAAAAATCATCATCCGGCATCCACTTCGCTCAAATCACAGGGCATTTCATGGGCTCCACCAAGGCAATCAATGTCACAAATCTCACCGCTTTCATAGCCCTTTGTGTTCCTCGCAGTAAACGAAACGCATTACATAACAATATTTTTCTACTTTTCCAGTTATTTGTTTCAATAACTGGAGGACACCAGAATTAATGGATAATACCCTGGCCAGCCACCCTTGGTGAAGATTTTAAAAGATTAAAAAAACTGAGGAATCTCTTTCACTAAATAATATTTAATATTAACGGAAACATGCTTCAACATCAGAAGTAAATCTGAAAATAATAACCAACTTACCTCGGAGTCATCCTCAGAGTCGCCAGTGTTAAAGGTTTCCTGGGAAGGATATACACATTTATTAAAACAGCATGCTTTTAATTCTTGCACATTTAATTACACCAGTTCTCAACATCGTGGCAGTATAACGCTTAAAGCTGCTGTATTCGTACATTTGTAAAATATAAAACACTGACAATATGATAGAAAACAAAGCACTGGCATGCACATGTTTGAAAATAATCCTGAAAATGGATGTGCACTTGCCATCGAAACTTTAGGAAACACTATTTACACTGAATCATTATATTACCATTACTTGTGACAACTATACAAAATGCATGTACTATGTAGGTGTCTATATTTCATTAACTATTTACAAGTAACTTTCCTCTAACAATGTATCACTTGTATTTAGTCTGTGGCAATATAAAATAGTACTTAAATGTGAAACAATGCATTGACAGCAAACAGCTGTATTGTTCACATTTGCTATAACGCACAGCTGTTTACAGACCAGGTGTGGTTACAACTTATACGAAAGTTATTTGTTTTGGGAATTGATTGTGACGTTTATTCGTTTCGTCGCCCACTAGTGACATGGCCAACATTGGAATATCTCTATGTGTGTGAGGTTAAGAGAGGACTAGGACTACCTCTACCAAACACACACGCATATACGATGAGTACCAAGCCCATGTCAACAATAATCCCAACTTCCCTGGGCTCTCAATACACCACTAGCATTGCAGATCAGTGTGCAGCATTCACACACAGAAGGACTGTGTAATCTCCTATCAAGGTATAATAATAACACCCCGTTTAACATCGGGGATGCGGTTCCTGAAACATGCGTCGAATATCGAAATGACGTAAATCAAACCAAATTACAGGATAGATGGAGGCGATAGCTCAGGCGACGGATAGGATAGAGGACGGAGGCTCTCAGCGACGTGTGGGTTGAGGCGACGCGAATCAGGAGGTAGTATTAATAACGTGACGACGTATTTGCGAAACGACGTTAAAGAGTGAGACCTAAATCAGGGTATGACCCTACACCACAGTGACAAGTCTTGCTCCTGTATGTTCTGCACAGCTATCGCTAAACTGTACGAAATTCAAATAAGCAAAACTAAGATGTATCCGAGGCGAAACATTCTACAAGATCTCCACTACAACCAGAAGCACAAACCCACATGTGCAGGAATATAGTGTATGCAGTACAATGCAAGAGGATTGTATGCATACAGTACACTAACACGTGAACACGACTACATGTATGATGGAGCATACATAGTTCAAGCAACTAAATATGATGCAATTAATTGGGGACGAAAAATATATAATGGTGCTCATATACATCTGGAAGAGTGCATGTAGTAATGTTAGGTAGAAGAAATAAAACAACCTGGCTTAGGCGTATAAATGGCGTGACCTGCCAAAGTTTTTCAAGATATAACAGCAGAAAAAACCCCACAGATTGTCGTGATTTTTGCTTTTATTTTCATCAGTCTAAGTATCCTTATTTGATGGTTGAATATTTATTTCTGTTTGCGCATAGTCACTTTAAGATGTTTTCTTGTTCATGTTTTTTGTTTGTTGCGGTTGCACCCGATTCAAGAACCGAATGGCTCACAGGGCTCTACCAAATAAATGAAACTGAAATGAAATGAAACTGAATAGAAAAAAAATGTTCATAAATCAATTCAACAGCATCACGCCAACTTTGGCGTTTCGTGGAACACATTGTAATCGCAATCTCCAAATGTACGTCGAAAAGTGTTGCTGGACGAAACGGTTGCCGATTACATGTTTACTCTTCACATCCCCTTTTAAACCCACTATTGGATGACGGCGGCATTAATCACAAACGAATCGAGTGGGATAATAGATTCGTGCGCTCGCGTTAACACTTCTAACGCAGACCCTCGTGTTTCCGGGTTGTATCCCTCCAGCATTTATTTCATTTTGCTCAGCTAACGTATCATACACTACTTTTATTTTGCTCATATTTATCTTGAGCTCAGCTTTTCGGGCCTTTAAAAAATATATAAGGTCTTCATATTCTAGTGCATTTACACTGTGTATTATATTGACGATGTCGTCAGCGTAATGAAATAGTAAAATACATTCTCCATTTATTGCTTCATAATTTTCAGCCTAGGTGAGAGTGCATCTCCATGTCTGAGTATTTTTATTGTCACTTTCTTTACAAAATCTCAAGTATAACTAACTGTTCATAATCATAATCAACTAACTGTTCTCTATATAAATGGATTGGATAATTGTTGTATATGTTAAGGCCTTGATTTGTGCAGGAATAAAGAGGGCGAGCGTTTGTCAAACGTAACCACGTGTCTACAGAAGATACAGGAAGAGGAAGACATGGATTAGACTAGAGGAAATACCCAAGTTGCAGATGTAAGAGGAAGTGAGAACGGGCAGGGGACACCTCGCTCGGTCGATAATTGAGCGAAAAGATTGGCAGCCAAAGAAGAAAGTACGCCCAGGAGGCGTGGAAAGAGTATCGTCCGAACTTATTAACCATTGACACAATGTACACAAAATATCCCCATAGGCACTGTATTGTGCATTCTATACGCAAACAATTCCCACGAGTTCAGTGATCGTATATATTCTACATAGAATGTACACAATACTGTACTGCATTCCCCATGGGAATTCTGTACACGGTATTCAGAAAACACCGGACTTTACGTATTGCATCAAAACGAGGAACGTGGTGTAAGACTGTACACATTCACCAGGAGGTACGACATTACTGTGATATTCTACCACACACAGTACTCGCAGTATAGTTCATGTGTATACTGCACAGGCATTCACAATGACGAGCGCACTGTACACACAATACAGTTGTTGTGCGGGGAACAGTAACGTACCACGTACAGTACACATACAGTAGGCCCCAGGTACAGTATAGCCCCCAAACAGTACGTACAACGTACAGTACACGTACCACGAAACAGTGGGTCCCAGGTACAGTATAGTCCCCTAACAGTGCGTGCCACGTACAGTACACGTATAGTACACGTACCACGTACAGTACACGTACCACGTACAGTACACGTACCACGTACAGTACACGTACCACGTACAGTACACGTACCACGTACAGTACATGTACCACGTACAGTACATGTACCACGAAACAGTGGGTCCCAGGTATAGTCCCCAAACAGTACGTGCCACGTACAGTACACGTACAACGTACAGTACACGTACAGTACACGTACAGTACACGTACCACCAACAGTACGTGCCAGGTACAGTATAGTCCCCAAACAGTACGTGTCACATACAGCACTCACACCACAGTACAGACATTATTTACAACGGACAGCAATGCTGTGTGTACACGCACACACACACACAAGCGCGCACGCACACACGCAGGGTGGCATGCGTCCTGTGCCCCGTCACGGTGTTACAGGGCAAGTGAGGAACACGTTGGACGGGCGGCGCCTCGTCTCTCCCCGCACCTTATTTACGTCGGCCATGTCGCGCGGTCACGTGCCTCGCGAAGAAAGTAGTTCCGGCCCTCGTCAGCTGACCGCGGCGGCCCGCGCAGCCTTTTTGGCGCGCGGCTACGCAATGCGCGGAAGGCGATGGGGGGAAAAGGGGAGGTCGGGGGCGTGGTCTATTCGGATCTATTTTATGTTAATTAGTTCAGCAAACGAGCAGCGTTGGGCGTGGAAATTGCGTGTAACATTAACATAATTTATGGCGGTAGTGGGGGGGAGGGGCTCCGCGCCGCAAGTTAGCACAGCATATATTATGATAATGAGAACGCATGGCATTGAGAGAAATTGCTTTACAGATAGTATTGCCACGCTGGTACGGGATGAGTGATGCTGGCTCAAAACCACGCACGGCTGCTGCCTTAAGGGAGAGGAGTGAGTGAGAGGTGTTCGGAGAGGTGTGATAAACCCAACAATTCTAAATATTTAAGAAATAATATATACCACCAAACAAGAAAGTGTACACACTCAAGTGATACAGACACACGCATGACTGTCTATGTATGTGTGCACGTATGTGTATTTCATCTTCACATTGAAAGGGCTGTGCATAGACAAGGCAACAGGTACAGGGTAGAGAGAAGGGGGGGTGTGTGTTAGTGGAGTTGGGGTGGTGGGGGGCTGCTGCTGCTGCTGCTGGTGGTCTTGGCTGTGCAGGGTGAGGCTGGAGATGACGGCGGTAGTATACCCCCTCTGCCCGTGAGTCCCCTACCCCTGCGCTCAGCTGATCGAGACGGGGGCTCAACCGCGTGCCAGATTTGGGGCTCAATTCGGGAGGCGAAACCTTCCTTCCCCCAGCTCACACCGACACCGTCATCACACCGGACGCCTCTCGCCGGGAAATATTGACGGGTAAGAAGATCACGTTTGATCGCCTTCTCTTGAAGATGTTTCTTTTATTTATTGTGTATGTGTGTGTGTGTGATCCGTTATTGTTTTATTGTTGCAGTTGTATTACTGTAATTGTTAAGACGGGACGCTTTCACGTGTTCAATCATTAAGAGGTCCCCATGTCATTGTATTACTCCTGGCTTGTTCCTGCGCTGTCCACGGTGCTGAAATTACTTTCAGCGTGCGGATAAGATGTGCATGCAGGTCGGCAATAGGTATGTAGCTAGGTGTGTTGGTTCTTTTGTTTTCAATTGCATATAAATCGAGTCTGCTTTCACCAGCGTGATTAAGGGCCGCTTTTCACGTCTACAGCAACGCAGAGGTGTCTATGCATTTATTAACTGGCTTATTCGTGCGATGTCCATGATGAATTTCATTACGTGACGAGCTTTACGGATGCAGGTAAGGTAATGTGTGTGTGTGTGTGTATATATGTAAGAAGGTTGTTTTGTTTTCAAACAAATAGAAATTGTTGTTGCGTTTACAATGTAAGCACGGGCACAAGTGAATGTATGGTAAAGCGTGAAGACTTTATAAACACAGTATGAATCTCGATATTAAATTAAATAAACACGCCCGCTTTTTAGCACGTTTTCTTGCAACTCATTCAACGTGTAATAAATATCGGACTCTATTATGTAAGTTTGGCGCAGCTCATAACAACAGTTCTAATGTTTAAATATGTATTTATTTACCGGTGTTGGACGTGTGTTCCCGTTTAATCAAAGCACACAACCTTTTAACCTGCATGGTAAAAGGCTCGCATTTAATATTTATGTTTAATTAATGGGTTTTTTGCTTTACTGGGCTAACACGCATTATTACTATTATTATTTATACGCAATCACGACCCCTCTCATTAATAAACATTGTGCATGACTTTACAATGGCTCAAAGTCTGTCAAAAGACGGTCCTCTAATTTGTTTTTTGGGGGGTTTATTTTCCCCAGGAGTTGTGATTATTAATGCGGTTTGTTGTGTATTGATTTTTTTGGGGAGGGGTGAGAGAGAGAGATGGGGTGGAAGGAGGAGGGTGATCAGGATTTGAGTTTGGTGGTGGTGGGGAGGGGGGGAGAGCTGCGTTTTGTATTTGTCTTGTGCGAACCGTTTCGGAGAAATTGGCTTCGTGGACTCCACGCGTTTCCCAACGAATGTGCCACGGCGATTGTAAGTCTCACCAACGATTCTATTATTGTGTGTGGCAATATGTTCAGGAGCTAAATGTCAATGTTGAGAGGGCATCGGGAGAGAGTTCGTACAGTTGAGCTATTCCTCCTCCGTCGAAGGAGCGTAGCGGTTTATAAAATAGTCCATAGTTTTTGGTTGCATGGCCACAATCGCACTACTGTGACTTGTCTCTCAGTTTCTATTCGTGAAGGAGATGTGCACATCGGCCTGTTGATGTTTTGATGCGGTTGATGCTTTACACTGATGTCTTCGAGGAGGAATGTCAAAGCCAGGAGGTGCGATGTTATACAAGCAGACCGCGGGGTATCGACGTTACGCGGCTTTTCCATTAAACCAATATTCGTGATGCCAGCAACTTAGTTTTCGCAACGATTAGAATAACCGTGCCACATAAACACGGTGCTAAAGCGCTTCAAAGCGCTGCTCCTATTCGACATACACATGGTTCCGCGGTATTTCCTTTTGAGCGTAGAGAGTTGTGTGTAAACGGTAATCAAACGCTCAGTTTAAGCCTCTTGTTACATCAACTTCTGGACGAATGCCTCTCTTCCCCACGCCGTGCGCCTTATGCGGGTTGCGTGGTCACTACCGACCACGCTGGTCAATGCGCGTAAAGTGAAGCGGAGATGCCCCAGGAATGGTTCAGAGGTCACTCGCCCCCTGTTGGTGTGATGTTTGTCGTGGCCGGGAATCGAACTCAGACGACTGTACCGGGTTCACGACGCAGTGGTGCGCGAACCAGTGCGATACCTCTGCCCGTCGTCAATCCATTTGATGCATTGTCTCTTTGGCAATGGGGCGCCTCGGAGTTAAGGAAAAAAAGTGAGTTTAGATTGTTCGTTTTGCGGCTAAATTGTCGTATTTACCTAGTTGTCATATATTTGGTGTAGATGCAGCATGTCATGCAGTAACAACGTTGTTCAGGTGTCTATGCACCCTACGTAGAATGTTGTTACGTATATACAAATACACGAATCAGTTAATTCGTCTACCTTTGCATGAGACTGCGCTGCCATTAAGTTCGTTAATTTTATCCCCAAGTTTTGCAGATGCGCACTGGTGAGAAAGCAGACCAGCTGCGCGGGGTGACTCTCTCTCCCTTTAAACCACGAGCTGCTTGCCCTCTTAACCTGCACATCCACGACTGCCCTTCTGCTTGGTTTAAATAACCCGACGCTATGCTTGGGCGACTTTTATTTTTATTTTAAACGCAGTTACCCGAGCCCCAGTGCAGAATTTAATGAATCTTTTAAATTGGCGATGCGAGTACACGTGAATATAAAACTCTTACAAAAATGTAAATCCTGACAGATTGTGCTTACAGGCGTTGTATATGTATGAAGAATATTTAAAACAGTTGAATATTTATATTCTTGGTTCTTTCGGTAAAGTCACGTAGAAGGGAAATAATAAAATAATATTAATATGAAACAAGAGTTGAATATTTGTTATAGTTTGTATCACGCATATTCTGAGGATAGCTCGATTTGAAACGATTCTATGACAGGCATATCTGCTTTCATAAAATGCTTGCAAGATACAATGTTTTGAATAGTAGACTGTATATCCACATATTTACTTAATTAAATAGACAAATGTGATTTTTTTTACTATTCTTTATAAGTATATATACAATTTCCAATCTTGCTTCCCATGCAAATCATGTCATGGAGGTAATTAAATATGCCACTTGTTTTCCAAACCAATTTAAGAAATGTTTTACTGACGCGTTATCCACTCTGTTACTACTGATTGTGTTTATCACAACACGTGGTTCTGTATCAATTTTCAGTTCGAGCTAATAGCAATGTTTTGGTCTGGTTATGACATTTATATAACTCTTGGATTTATTTCACAAGCGCAATATTTGCGTATCATAATAAAGCTATTAATTAATATATAACAAAATGGGCATGTCCAATGTTTTATTTTTTTTACTAATATTTACAACCCTTTGTCAATCTACTGCAGGATGAAGGCCTCTCCACATTGTGCTGGTCATTGGGGTTATTTTGATCACTTCACCGTGCCGGTCACTGCGGGTTGATGAAAAATCAGTGATTACTATTAATATACTTTTGAGAGTCGAGAAGCAGTAAGGTGCTTATTGAATTGACGACAAATCCAAGTTAACAGGCGAGCCACACTTACCTGTTCAGTTCCCGCATAGGTGCACGGATCAGTTCCACCGAGGCGCTAAAACCGTGGCATCTCTCTAGAGGTGCGCGCGTGTGTGTATGTATGTGTGTCACACCAGGAGCTAACCGCACGTCTTGGCCGATGGGCATGACGATTGCAGCCATAGGCGCCAACCGTTGATCACACCACCACCAATGGGGCCACACAAACAACATGATCGCCATTTTGTTCCTGCAAGTAACAACAAGAACAAGAAAATTATAATCGGAGGCAGTGTTGGCGATGGTTAGATGTGGTTATGCATGAACCCACCTTTTGCCCGAACGTTACTCGTTTTTTTCGTTGTTCTAGGTGAGAGGAAAATGCCATTCCAATATTCAATATCCACTGCTGCCAATCTTTAAATATATTTGTTACGCAATGTTGCAATGCCTAAACAAAATACACGACCGTATTTGCATTACAAAACATAGTTAGTGTTTAAAGTAATTTCATATGTGGAACTAATTATTCTATTGTGACTTAAACAAAATATTTAGGTTAAATATTCAATTTACTCATTACAGCAATCCACATAATTACAGTTTTTTTCAGGAAAAGCATATGGTATATAAAAAACACATTTGCAAAACAGTTGATAGTTACATTGCTTTTATTTCAGCAGGAATCTCTTGTACACTCGAAGGCATTCGGTGTTAAGGTGCAAGGCTCTGCTTTTACAGGAATACTACAGGAACCTCATTCAAAATAACAATGCAGGTTCATTCGGGTTTAATCAACACAACTAATGATGACCCGAAGCATAACTAAAGGTCGTTTGCCATGATTTGAAATTCCGTAACCTCTTTATACACATTAATTGTATTAACGAACCACTTGAATGTGTGAGCAGTATTAACTGATGCATATATACACACACTTTAAATTTTATTTATTAATTAATTGTTAGCAAATAAGACCACATATGTTGCACTATATTTTGATTTCGTGTAAATTATAGCATTATTCAATACCTCAATTGGCTCATGTGTACTGACTTGTCACAGAAGTTATGAAAATATATGTCTCATAAGCTCTGTTAATAGGAAAGACTGTTAAGTTGTGATCTTTAAGTAAATCTGTGTTTACGAGTCGTACAATTGGTTTTATTTGTTTTAAGAAATGCAGTGCAAAACAAATGCCAAGCATTATGTAGTTTGTAATTCCGGTGAATGTGTGTCTCATGTTGTGTTAGCAAAGTAATTAGTTTGGAAAAGTGTGTTCAGTAGATTGTCCTTGGTCTGGCACGAGAGCCCGTGTTGTATTTCCTATTAGATGATTCATAATTTATACTCCCACGTACCCTTTAGCGTCATCAGATCACGGACTGAAACTGCCGAAAGATGACATTCTATTCCGAAACGGAACAAACATAATCACGATATAATGAATAATTTCTTTAAAAGTCAGTTCAGCATTTTATAAATCATTCTATAATCAAGAAAGTTATACTATTTAATCATTATAATACAACATTTTACATGCATTTGCTACGATGACCTATTTTTTTTTACTAAGTCATATAATGGACGCAGTAATATAGTGGATACAATACATGACTGAGCTGTAATATGTAACAGATAATATAGCAACAG